AACGTTTTCTAGTGTGGTCATGGTAGATGAACAAATATTGTTATTTGTGCAAGTTATTTTGCTTAAATATAGCTGGACCATTCCATGCCAAACGTCCCAGCCACTTTCGCCACCGTCTGAGTTTTATTTGAAAAAAATGTGCTGACTTACTGCGTTGAAAACAGTGAACTGCTAGAATATTTAAGCGAGAAAAAAGTTTTGTTCATGTGGCTGGCTTATAACTTCCCGGCATAATGCCATCTGTGCACTGTTCGTGAAAAACTTTGTTTTAAAACTACCGCTTATTTTTTCTAAAGAAAAGTCGGTCTACCTGTTAAGTAAATGTGCTTCTGTAAGGTATTTGAAGTTAATAATAATAGTGCGAATTTTTTGCCACATTCTCTTCGAAGATTGAAGCCAAAATGTGTTATGTTTGCATTTTTATTGCAATATTGCACTTTGCATGAATATCTGAGCAGTGAATACTTACTCCACAGAAGGTATATTTTGAGGAAAAAATATCTTTTTCCTCTTAAGCTGCTGAAAATACGAGAAAGTATCACGAATTTCACAAAATTGTGATTTTTGTCCGTAATGAGATGCAATTTGCTCCATGTTGTGATACAATGAAAACTCATCATTATACTTAAACTGTGAGAAAATGAAATTCTTTCTGTAATAAAAGTATCATCGCAAAAAGAACAGGAAAGAGCGCTGTCAACTGAATTTTATTGAAGGTGCTTTGAGCGTTGTTATACTGAGCACAAGACCAGGGCTCATCTGCAACAGCACATGTGTGACCATGACAAAATAATTTTAACCGAGAAAACAATACTTTTTTTCGGAAAAAATAAGTGAAGGTGTACTGATGCATTGGTCTTTGGCCTTCCTGATAAAGAGTTTTAAAATCTCTCATTTTTCTGCTTGCTTTTTTTTCAAAAACCGTGTTTTATGAAACCTAGGACTACACTTGCATTCTTTACGGTGTCCGGCCATGAGACTACTATAGCTCTTTTATATATATAATATATATATAGAGAGAGAGAGAGAGAGAGAGAGAGAGAGCTTCCTGAATTAGGAGACACAAATATAATGTTTATTCTGCTTTAAAATTAGAGTGAACACTGGAACCATATTTGGCCTCAACTCAGCATAACGCCTTTATCATTGGGGTACATACGTGTTGGTTGCTTTTTTTTTTAGAAAATCAGATAGCCCGCACTATAACTACAGTTGACATTGCATCGACATTACGCGTGGGTAAGGCCTCTTTCATAATCAGTTTCAAGGCGTGGCTCCGTGGTAGAATACCTGACTGCCATGCAGAATGCTTGGGTTTGGTTCAGTTGGAATACTGAATTTTTTTTAGGGGCGAAGCTCCTTATAGCGGCACCCGTTCATTTCTTGTAGTCGTAGTAGTAGTCGTAGTGTGTAACCAGTCTTGCATTTTGACCTCCAAGGTGGTGCCGGTGGGAGATCTCTTCTGTGCGTTGTTGAACAATGAAAAATTCGCAGCGTGCGCGTTAACTAAAAGCCGAATTCCCTGTCTCTCATTCCCCCTTAGCAGTCATTGGCATGTACATTGAGCACTATCTCACAAGAAAGTGTTGCTACGTTATACTCGCTGGGCGTAACCTCTTTGGTTTTAGAAAGGTTTAGTGAGCGTTGGGCCGCAGTGCCATAAAAACAGTGAACTAGTATTTACCATGAACTCTAGGTGGTTAAAGGTGGGAAGTAGACACGAAGCGCAAGCCGTAAGAAAGTGTGCGTGTGCCTCCTCTCGTTCAGTCTTTGGAATTTCCGCTGGATGGTGGTGCTTCTACATGAGGAATATATGATGAAAAGATGCGAGATGGTGGTACTTAGGTGTTGAATAGGTGGACGAACGGACACACAGACAGATTCATGGATGCACGCACGGATGGCTGCACGGACGGATGGACGCACGGACGGACGCAGGAGTAGATGCATGAACGAACGCAGGGACGGACGCACAATGGACGTGCGGACGCACGAACAGACGCACGCACGGGCGGGCGGATGGACGCACGGGCGGCCACACAGACGCACGCATGGACGGACGGAAGCAAGAACGAATAGGCGCACAAATGCTTCGCCCCACTCTCCATCATTCACTCTGTGGATATGCTGCAATTTTTTTTATTCTTTGTGTTTGTCAGGTCACGTTGCGATGACTGTTTTTATTAACGCTCCCTCATTTCAATTAATAATGCGTGTTCTTGTCGTCCCTGCAGCAGACATAAACTGTCAGTCACCTGTGGCGCATAACCTGTAACGCATAACCGCGGCCCTTGGCATGCCACCCGTGTCCGGAGGAAAGCGTTTGACAATATGTGCCTGACAAGATTGTCATGTTATTCATGACATACCCAGACGTAGGCGGCGCTAGATGGATGGATGGATGGATGGATGGATGGATGGATGGATGGATGGATGGATGGATGGATGGATGGATGGATGGATGGATGGATGGATGGACGGATGGACGGACGGACGGACGGACGGACGGACGGATGTATGGATGGATGGATGGATGGATGGATGGATGGATGGATGGATGGATGGATGGATGGATGGATGGATGGATGGATGGATGACGGATGGACGGATGGATGTAAGGATGGGGAGGAGTAGGAGGAGGAGGGGCAGTCTGTCGGTCGGTCGGTCGGTCGGTCGGTCGGTCAGTCAGTCGCGCAAATCTGCCCCGTACTTTGGCGTAGTAAGGGGGAGGGGTCACTTCGATGAATCTTCGCCCCTCCTGATAGGAACCCTGCGCACGTCTAAAAACCTACGCCTGCGCTCATGCAACACTAGCCCTCTTGGTACCGCCCCGCTGTTTCTATGTGAGAGGAAACGCGTGAATTATACAAGGCGCTTCAAGAGAGTTGTCTGTAGGGCGTGTTGGAGCTTTGACATTGGAACTATCGTAAAAGTGCAACTAAACGCAACACACGTCTCGTCTGTTTCTTCTTGTGTGTTGTGTTTAGTTGCGCTCTCACGATGGTTTCTATACATACACGGTGTTTTCGGAGTTTTATACATGATCGCATGATCCTCAGTATCTCTGTTAGAACGCCGGGCACTTACCGCCGCGGGTTAGGGGTCCCAGGTTTCATTTCTGTGGTGAGCAATTTTGAATTGTTTTTTTTTTCTTCCTCATTCAGTACCATCCACTTTATGAACGTCAGATCAGTGACGGGAATACGTCAGTGGAGCTTTGGTGAACTCCGGCATGGAACATATTTGCGTTAGAAAACACGACGCATTGAGTAAAGAACCGAGTGTGCAATCTCAGTGTGGTCGTTCAGCATCTAAAACAAAGGAACAAGAAACATGACTTTCTTGACGCAATTATTGAAAAGTAAAATATTATTATAATTTTGGAAGTAAATTTTCATACACAATTCAGCTAGCCGAATCAGATACCAGTTTGGGGCTGACAGTGAGGCCCCGCCACACTGCATGTGGACACACCTACACGTCCATCTATTGTCTGCTCTACCACTGGGACAGACATTCTTTTAACTAGCAAGCTTTTCTTTCCTAGAGATATCTATCTGCATGTACTCGTGCCAGCTCATGAAATTACACGCATGATCAGACGTACTGGAGCAACACAGGAAGCAACTTATCGGCGTCAATGGATGCAACTTGTCTCTTTTCACGTTGTCGCACCTGTCAGGTTAGTAAGCGTTCATCGCTACCGAAAATTGGGCGTTTGTGATACACAGTAAAAGGAAAACGAGGAAAAACTTATCCTTGCCTCATCTTCTCGGGCTGAACGCTGCAATACTTTTTCACGAACCAGAAGTTTATACATGTTGTCACACCAAAGCTTTATTCTATTTTCTATATCGTTATGCTATGTGTTATTATTTTGGTTTATTTTGTTCAGAAATTGTGGTCACTGTCAAGGCTTCTCACTAATTCCACGCGCTGTGTTTTTTTGTTTTTTTTACAGAAGTCGCCACAAAGAAATGCTTGGAGAACGGCACGTGGTTTTTCAGCCATCCCAGAACCGGACGTGGACGAACTACTCGCTGCGGAACTGATCAATACATGCATTCGGAGAACATATCTATTTTTGAAGTAAGCATGACGCGCGTATATAAACCACTTTCTTTTCAACAGCGTTCTCTGCTCCGTACATTCCGGTAAATTATTTACACCGGAAGTTCTTTTTCTGTTGTCAGTATATGCACGAAGCACACGCAGACGGTAACTTGTTATGGTGTTGTGCTTATGATACACTGTAAGCCGCTCAAAACACAACACGATGGATGTTTGTTGTAAGGACTTCCCGTCTTACGACGCTATTCCATTAGGCTGGCTGACTTTCAGGATGCACAATACAATTTTATGGCGGCCGTCTGCGTCAGCACCATCGAGCCGTACAAGCGCAAGAATAAATTTGGAAAAAATGTTTTCGTCTACGCATCGCTTTTTTTTTTTCTCGAATGCTCCATTAAATCGAGTTTGGCGGCGAGTATCATTTCGTTATTTCGAGTTTGCCTTCACGCGTGGACAGTCCTAAGAAACATCACGCACGTCCTTGACACTTCCTTTCTGGTAGGCAAACCGTGCTTTGCTGTCGGTGTTTCTTTGTTTTGGGCAGTTTTGTCAACTCCACTCACACGTGAAACGCATTGGCTTCTGCAGTGACTTCGAAATAGCTTTTCCGAGGGAGCGCGTGTGGTAGCTCCACGGAAACGAAAAAAAAAAGTGTAATAGTACATATTGGTGTATTCGCGATGAAATCAATGTTGCAATCTTCAACGGGATTACCGAACAACTAGTACAAGGTCAGCAAACATCTACTGTAGACTTTATTCCGTGAAAGATGAAAAAAGAAACGTCGTATACTTGATGTCTATGATTTTGCTGATAATTTTCTACAGCATTCCCTAGCGACTCGAATAGCTCGAAGTCACAAGTTGTTCTCAAATAAATAATTTTTTGAACAGACAAACAATCGACAAGTATTGCCGGGTGACGACAGCCATTTTGCGAAGCTCGTGTTTCCATTTATTCGGGATCGTGCTAAGAGCCATGCAGGCTAAATATTAAAATATCGTTCGTCGTAACACAAATATAAGTAAAGAAAAAAATAATTCATATGATGTCCTCAAATTTTTAGAAACTGTCTACTTTTAAAAATGCACGAGAAACGCTGTGTTTTTGAAAGTCAGTCAGTTTCACGACGCAATTGCTCATTCTGTGAACACTTTATCTTGTTCATACAAGTGTGCATGGGCCTTTGTAGGAACAATGAGCTTCCGTATAAGTATTAGCGCAATAATTTTCAAAGTCATTTATTGCTGAAAACATAGAAAGTGAAGTGTTTTCAATAAAATAATCTGCATTTAAAAAAGAACTTTCATTCTTGTCAAAATTTTTCGAATTTTCTCAAACGACTGTAGAACGATATTCTAAAAAAATGTTTACCATTTTCAGAAAAATATTGCAAAATTTCAAACAAGGTGTTTTTATAGCGTTGTCGCTACTGCGTGACGTTCATTTGTTGTTACACATAAATGCAGAAGGTGGAGAAAAAACGTGTACTGTAGTTGCACGAGCTGAATTTTCGAACGAGTAACGACCAAGAAGACCGGACAAGTGGTGCGCGTTTGCATAAGTTTGTCAATCTCACTCAGCTCAACTAAATTACAATGCCGTAGCATCTGGAAAAAAAATTCAAGATTCGCCAAGAGACATTACTTTATCAGCGATCTGCCCGTTCCGATCGGCGAATCAATGCCGCGTCACCTCCCAAATTTTTTCGCCACCTCCAGGACCATTTTCTGCTGCCATTTCAGTAAGGTCGGTCACATTTACCGCGAATGCCCATACCGAAAACTTGTGCGGCGTGGTTGCTCCTCTAATGTACGTCATCCTCAAGTTAGAGTCAGAGTAAATGAAGAATACTCTCCCAGAAAAGTGTACCCTTTTCACTGCGTCAATCGCGGTCACCATTTCCACGGTGACCCGCATTCATTGTACGATGTTTCGGGGTGACGGTATGGCGACGCTTGCCAAGCCCTCGTCGGAAAGTCTGAACGCAGCGGCCTTCAGGGGCAAGGCCGCTGGAACTCAAAGTATGGAAGACCTCTTATCGACGCTTGCACAAAACGCCGAATGCATCAAATCCTCGCTTGAGGATTTATAGCATTCATTTGAGCCAACGTCTGAACACAGTGAACGAGTCTCGCTCGGCATATACCTGTGTTGATGGAAACAGGTGCAGACTATCCAGTGCTTGTTCTCACGGCTGGAGGAAACGTTGTTACAGCACAAAATGAAAAGGCCGTTCGTTAACATTTGTGGTCACCTGCCTCACCCTCCTCGACTGTTCTCGTCCGCTCGTCTTCGATATGGACGTCTTCTGAGAGAACAGCGTAATCGTAAATCTATGCGAGCGAATGGTGATTTTCTCGACGATACGCGCAACATATATGGACGCCGATAGCTGCTCTAGACCGGGGATGCGTGTTCCTGGCGAAAACATGACGCTGCCACAACGACCGGCTACCTTTATAAGTCACAAGTGAAGACTCCGATATGGGTACGTGGTCGCCAAGAGCACATCACTTTTGCTGCTTAAACCTGGATGCACAGCCTGAAGTCTTTGCGCGTTTGTGAGGTTCGGTCAAAGATACTTGTCATGAATTTCAACTTTTGCAGCTCCACCGCAGCCTATGGAAACCCTGTAGCGGACCTCGCGTAGTCCTTCGTGTCCGATAAAATCAATGATCGTGACAAGTTTCTGTACGACATCGACGGAAATTGCGAGCTTTCGGGCGATAAAACGACCGCACCTCACAAGATTTCGAAAGAAATTCCTTCACCTTCCCGTCTAGAGCCAGTCGAACGCCCACAAAGTACCAAGTTATTACCGACCTTTTTGTCGCCTCGTGCATCCGACAGCAATCTTACCGTGTTTTTGCTAAAGAACGTAAGGCTGTATGCAGACAAGGGTAAAGGGCGCACTCGGCGATGGTGTGATTACACCGTCCAACAGCTCGTGGTCCTCGCCAGTCGTTCTGGTGAAAATTAAAGGCGCGACGCTGCTGTTCTGCATTGATTATAGGAAACTCGGTAGCGTCACAAAGAAAGTTCACCCGCTTTTACGGGTCGATGATTCTCTAGACAGGTTGCGCCTCGCAAAGTATTTTTTAATCAATCGATTTAAAAAGCGGCTGTTGGCAGATAGAGCTTGATGAGCGAGGTCGAAAAAAGACAGCTGCCGTAATTTCAGGTTGGCATTATACATTCAAAGTTCTTCCTTTCGGTCTCTGTACGGCTACAGCCACTTGCCAGCGTATAATGAATACCGTGTTCGCTGACTTGAACTGGCAAAGCTGCTACGTATAACCCCCCCTCCCCCCCAAAAAATAAAGTGGTTATCTCTGGGAACTTCGAACAACATCTGAACCACCTAAGAATAATTCTGGATGCCATTTTTTCTGCTGAACACACGCTGAAACCCCAGAAGTACCATTTTTTCAGTGTTGAAAAACGTAAACTCATTGTGTAAGTGCTGTGCTATGTACATATGTATAGCCTTGTGTTTGCTACAAAATGTGCAATGTTGAGTTTTGTGCAAGAGAAGAGGAGTCGCCGGCGCCACGCATTGGCACCAACCTCTGCTTACATACATTTAATTTAAAAAAAGAGCTAAATTTCCTGAAAGATGTGATTGCGGATGAAGTTTCAGCCGATTAAAAAAACTGTAGCTGTCGCCGTCTTTCTTGTTCCGTTAGACAAAAGAGCAGGGTGACGCTTCCTCGGCATTTGTGATCAATAACGACAATTCACCACCACTTTCTCAAAGATAGCTGAATCGCTCACGCGACTAGCTCGAGATGATGTACGCTTTGCCTGGACAAGCAAGAGGCAGTTTTCACAGAATTATGGCAGCGAATGCAAACAGCCACTGCTCTGGCTTAGTTTGATGAGGGCGTCATATACTGAAGGGTACGCAGATGCCGACAACATTGGACTTAGCACCCTCCTTGTACAACGACACAGCAGTGTTGAGCATGTCATAGCTTACGACAAGCATACTCTCTGGAGCCGAGGCCAACTGCTCTACTTCAAACACGAATGCTACGCAGTCGTCTGGGCGGCGATAAAGTTCCGAGCATACCTCTCCGGCCGCCCTTCAAAGTGGTGACTGATCACCACTAACTATGCTGGCTAGCCAATCTCAGATATTCTTCTGACCATTTCGCCTGGAGAAGCGTCCGCTTGCGGGAGTTTGTGTCACGATCGTCTACAGGTTTGGGCGCGAGCACAAAGACCCCTATGTGCTTTCTCGAGCACTTGAGGGGCATCACTGATGTTAGAGGATGCCGGTGTCTTTTTGGAGCACTCAGTGATTATGACTTCATGTCAAGACAGCGAGCAGATCACGAATCGCGTCCTGTTGTTGATTACTTAGAAGGCCGAAATTTCCACATTATTCGGCACATTGCTCGCGAGCTGCCACCCTTTTGTCTCAGAAGGGTATCCTTTCTGCGCTCGAGGTATACCGACAAAGCCTTCTTCCTCGTAGTCCCTATAGCCGACATGCGTGATGACGTCTTCCTTGCGTGCCACTACAATCCCATGTCAGGACACTTGGGCTACTAGTGGACTCCTGCCACAGTGCGCCCCCAGTAGTACTTGCCATGACTATTTACGAGCGACGCCGCTACTTGCAATGCTGTTACGAGGATCAGAGTCACGAGATCCCAAACCATAAAACCCGTGGGTCTTCTCCTTCCGATTGCACCCTCTCGGACATATTTCAAACATGTGGGAATTGGCCTGCTTGGCGTCGGAAACACATGTGGCACATTTGCGGTGTTTATAAAAGAAACACCGCGTGTGAACATGTCAACGCCTTAAGTAAGTCAACATTTCAGCAGTGCAGGATCTTCAGCGTGGTTGTCGCACTATCATTTTGCGAACTCAACACGCGCCTCTCAAAGGCGTGTTCGTGGGCCTTTGTCCTCTTTCGGGCAGGTTCTTTCGTTCCACCTGCAGCATGGAAATTTCCACTCTCGAAGGAAGCAAGGGTCCCCACGCAGCAATTTCGTGCTGCTCGTTCCGCTTCTGTCAAATATTGCAAATATAGCGACAGGTGGTCAACAGGGGCGCTCGCATCATGGCGGTAACGTGGCTGTGATTGCGTAGGTTGTGAGCGCGGTGAAATTGAATGCGATATATAGCAGCCACGTGATGATATCACTTTTACTTCTGCGTGCGTGTGTGCAATATCTGCCCGATAAATCTGACAGATGAATCGTGACTCTGACTGGCGCTGCGTTGTGAGCAGCAATGCTCCTCAACATCGAAAATCACATAATGACAGCGCATTGTTACGTTTATGACGACAGTATTGCGTTGTTTGTTCATTGTGTTGGTTAGTTCAAGAAGTGGCTCAGCCAGAACTTGCGTGTTCTCTTTCAAGTGGCGTTCGCGAAGTTCTAACACACGAAAACTATGCGGGTTTGATCACCCCCTTTGAAGACTACTGACTATATGCTTGTAAGAGAAAAATATAACTACGAGAACTGTAGATGTATGGAATCACATAGTGAGTACCCGCAACCGCAAAGAAAAATAGGGAGCCCCTGTACTTTGCACGCGCAAACAGGAAAATACAAAATTCATAGCATATGCACGGCGTGAATGATGATGAATGGGGCAAAGCGTCCATCTGTCTGTCTGTCTGTCCTGTCTGTCTGTCTGTCTGTCTGTCTGTCTGTCTGTCTGTCTGTCTTCTGTCCATCCGTCCGTCAACTATACGAAATCGTTAACTATACGAAAACCACTAACGCCATCTAGTGATATTATATACAAGGGCATATACACACAACGTCATCTAGTGAGTAATTTTTAAAAACTATCTAGAAGTGGCTACATACTGCTACTACTACTACCACTACTACTACTACTACTACTACTACTACTACTACTACTACTACTACTACTACTACTACAAAGGAGGGAACGACCCACACCCTAAAGAGCCTCGCCCCTAATAACACACACACACACACACACACACGCGCGCGCGCGCGAAAAAATTATTGCACCAAAATCATCCTCGGATAAGGCACAAAAGCATGAGGACTTCTATCTGTATAGTACGGCTTGAGTCGTAGGACAAGCACGGTTTCGGGCCGAATTAAGTTGTCGACGTGAAGACACTATACATCATCCGGAAATACTTCGTGAATTAGGTCACTGACAAATTGGAGAACCTTGTATGGTCAGAAATGACGGCTCAGAAGTTTTTCAGAAACGCCTGGTCGTCGGATTCGAGTTCATACTAACACTCGGTCATTGGGTCGTGGTGACTCACATTACGATGGTGAATGTTGTAACATCCTGAAACAGCACCTTGTTCGTGACTGATGTTTATCGCTATTATTGCACAAAACGCATAGCACCAAGCATGCTTGCATCGTTTTGCCTTCGTAAACACGGCGCAAAGGTGGAAATCACGTTGTTTCCTGTGCTGCTTTATTGTACACAAACGTGATTTATGGCAAAAATCGTCCAGGTTTTCTGCTGTTCGTCCGTGTAGATTGACAGAATGTCTGTTATGGTCTTATGGAGGCTCTGCGTCGGTCAGTTTGTTTGTGGACAGCAGGTCGTTGTTCTTCGGTTATCTATGCAGCTTGGTATGAAAATCCCATCATTTGTGCTCCAAATGGTGTCCCTCTAATCTCAATCACACATTACGGTGTGCCATGCCGTAGGAAGATGGCTCACATGAAGAACTTCGTGACTTCAGACCCCATGCCACCTTTGTCTTGGCATAACGAGTTGGTATATTTCACGTGTTCACGGTCGCCCGGACGGCATGAGCGTGCATATCCCAGCCACTCCCGCTGACGTGTACTCCGCTTTGCAGAGCTTCTCTCCGTTTTCCAGAGTCTTCCTGGGAAAGTAGCCTCAAGATAAAGTGTTATCAAGGGATAAAGTGAACTACACTGCAGTATTACGGGTGCAATGGCTGCTCGAGCTGTTCGTGCCAAAATCAAGCACGGGAACAGCGCACGTGCTAGCGCCCGCAGCTGTACTGGCTGTACGTACACTGTGGCTGGTCGTGTCTGCGCAAGCGGCTCAGTTATGTCACGACTCCCTGCTGCGGGACCTCTTTCGGCGCGCTACTTATGCAGCACTGGTCTCCCATTGAGTCATTTTTTCACTTTATTTTTGATAACGTGAGTATCGGTCGGATTGCAGTTTGAGGCAACGTGTGTTGCCGCTCGTATGCCCGCAATAGTACTATCGGCGTCGAACAAAACCTCAACAGTGGTGTAGAGCGCCACCGTCCAGTCATGCGGGATGCGCGCATTTGTCAACGGTGACCACTGGAGGGTGAATACTTGCCGCTATTCGGGTTTTATTCGACGCCGATACATGCACGCAGTGAGAAAAGTTTTGAGTGTTCTGTGATGGAAATTGTGGAATTAATGGCTTCTCTCTCCACAGCCTCACCTGTCTACTATTAAGCTCATCTCGAAAATTGGCTACAGCGTATCGTTGGCTGGCCTAATCGCTGCGTTCGTGATACTGGCGTCTATCAAGTAAGTCCCCTCTAAGAACCATGTTTTCACTCCACTGCACGCAAGTGTGTGTTTGGTCGGGTAAATAGGAAAAAAAGTAGCGCTGACCGATGAAACGAAGGCTGAGACGGGCATGAAAATGTTTTTGTGTGTGTTTGGACCGCGTATACACTTCTGGAAATAGCAGCTAATAAGACTTTCTCAAGTTCATTAACTTAGACTGACTGTTTTGCATGCGTGATGCCTTGCATGGCATCACAATTTATAGCAGGAAAGACAATCTTTAGCACATTCATGTAAGCAAAGACGCAGGAAAAAAAACACGTGCAGCACAGTTATCTATAACAAGGCCATGTAATGTAAGAGAGCAGGAAAAGTTGTGAAGCTGAGGAGGAGGGAAGAAAGGGAAAGGCTGCCACTGCATTACAAATTAAGGTTTCTTTTCTCGCCATAGACGCCGAGCACGCTGCACGTTTGGAACGCGCTCGCCCATGAACGCTCACGTCGCTGACGGACGTGTCAATCTCTGCCCCGCACGTCCTACAGCTTTCACGTGGAGTGCAACTGCGCACATTTTACAGCGAGAACAGTTTCGTCTCCGTAAACTAAGGGCACTATTCTGGACACTGTCTAATTCCGCCATATTGTCAAATTTTGTAATGACGGTGTTTTAAGCCAATCGGAGAGGTCGTAGCAGCTCACTTGGCCAATTAGCATCAATCAATGGGTCTGACAACATGGCGGAATTCGACAATGTCCAGAATAGCACCCTAAAGCTCCTTTGCATGTAAATGTGTGCGTTCCTTGCGTTTTCAAATCAGACGCAGAGGAAGGGCATTCGGAGAAGTCGATAGACGAGCCGAAGAACGGATTAGCGATACACATCTGCACAACTGCACAGTTACAACTAAATGTCAACGTGTGGGTGGCTTAGGTGCCCTCTAACAAGTGCAGGCTTCTCTTTTTTTTTTGCGATCAGACGTAGAGAGTAAATATCAGTATTCGGTTCGATAAAAAAATACAAAAAGAGCATTAATGCCCCATGCTGGATTACAAGGCGCCTGCGAACAATTGGAACACGCTCTCACGCGTTCCCGCGAAAGGTGAAGTTGCAGCTGCTTTGCGTTTCACATAAACACTTCGCCTGACGTCGAACGGCCATTCATTCTCCCCGCGTGCGTTTTTCGCGTACATAAAAGGCAAGCCCGTCTAGAAACTCATTCATTTTCATTCTAAGCGAGCCATGGGTAGACCACGGTAATTAAGGACACCAGAGGAACAGCGTGAGTACAACGCTCGATAAAAGTAACAAGTTCGTCTGCTGAAAATAATCGCGGAACCAATCAACGTCTATACTCGTGGAAAACTTTTCTTGGTAAGGAAGGGAAAGCTACGGGGGGCGGAGCTTGTGCACATGTACCACCACGCGAAGTAATCCGGTATTACATGCGTGCCGTACTACTGTGAGAAGTGGTGGCTGTGTGCGATCAGCGTATCATATCGACGCAGACGCTGCTTGGCGTTCTGAGTCCGTAAAGGCGCCCCTTTCTCGCGCGTTCAGAAACGCGAAATACTAACGAATAAATTCGAACAAATATGATTATGTTACCGGTGTGCGCTGTGTTCTGTGTCGGGGAACTAGACGCCAAAAATGCAAGCAGTATTTTTTTTTCACTTATCACGTTGGAGAAAAGGAAACATTTGTGGGACTACATTATTTAGCGGAAGGATGCGCGTGATTTGGCTCTGTACCATTCCCTGCAATCACCAAGAAAAGCTGTCCTCTGGTATAGACCGTTTCACTCAAGGCTACCTGGATGCCGCAATAGTACTCTCTTGGCTCTTGTTAGTGCGCGTGGCCCCACCCAAAAAATTCACTGCCGAGGCTGTGACGTCGGCTTTTGTACTCGCGTGCAACAGCCCAGAATGGAGAAAATCCTCCTCTCCATAAAAAAAGGTTTATAGCACAGCTACCAGAAAGTTATGACCACCACTATTCCTCTATACTAATAATAAAAGATAGCTCGACCACCGCCGCCCTCCACACGCACACACACATCGTAGTGTTGCATATAGCCTCGCTGACAGTCCCGTGCGCAGAGTGGAATGGCACCCAATTTTCTTGAACACGAAACGGGTCAATGCCAGGGTCCACCAAAGACTTCAGTGACGTATTTCTGTCACGAATATGACAATCATAAAATGGACGCCAACGGATGACAATAAAGAAACAGGAAGAAAGAGTTCCACTGCCGGTGATCAAATATTTACGCCCTCCCGATCCACAATGATAAGCATCCATCACTTTACCAACTAATGTATACAGAAGCACATGCCCGACACTATATACACAAATTTGTGTTTCACAAATTTCCCTCGTAGGATGCTCTCTGTTGGTGGGTCTAGGCGAGGTGGGGTGGTGCCACTGTCTGTGATGGGTGCAGTGAAATAATGCGTCATAGTACTAATATTATGGAACGATTCGCCGTTGATGCAGTAAAAGCATAGCATCAGCGATCGCGCGCAATCTTAGAGGTTTCTTGTAGTTCAGTTATCTCATTAGTTCATGAACATACGCGTTGTGAAAGATTTGAAGAAATACATAAAGCGAAGATGATCATGTGCGGGCCGGGTCCCTAGTGAAGCATGCCTGTCCTGCTCCTTCGGAATAAAATATCATAGTTCAGCGCTCAGCCTTCTGTTTATTTTTTTTTTGTCGCTGTCTGTGTAAGTTTTATTCTAACATGCCTTACCAACTGGCCTACCAATCCATCCTCGAGAAGATACAAAAAAGTGGTCTTTCTGTTGGTTTCTCAGCGACTGAATGTCGTTTTAGCTTCTTTCTGCGCCGAAAAAGCGAAGAACCTTTAAAATTACTCTTGCTGTGTTTATTTATAAACAAAATGAATGTATTGAGAATAAATTAAGAAAAGGCCTAAGCAATGTGTTCTGCCGGAATCCCATATAATGCGGACAAGTTTACATTGGATGAACCAGAATTGTTGTGAATGAAACAAAAAAGGCATATTGTGGTCCAGATAAGAGAAAGTTGGCTTGCTGCCCTCTGGGCCACGTGTGAGTGAACCCAGAAATATCCTTACTGTTCTAATGTAAGTAAACAGTTGGGTAATGGTAAACGAGATGTACTCTGTGCAGGAAAGACCATTTCTGACGAACAGGCATGTATGGCATCTGTATCTGTAGTAAAGATATTTCGTACCTGCGGTGATTTAGATAAGGCATGTAGATTGTGGTGTACACATGGCTCATCCACCTCTCACATGACATGACTTTGCATATAAAGCGTGACGTTATAAAATTAAATTCACTGAAAGTTGAGCACCCTCTGTCCCCTCAGCTCATTTTTTTTTGCTGCAAGTTGAAACAAATCTATCTTTTTCAGAGCAATTGAAGTTCGGAATAATGTATGGCTGCTTATACTTGATGAAACTTCAAGAAACACTAAAGAGCAAAACTATTTTTTAACATTCCCGAAAACACCGCTATTACCGCAGCTCGACGCTTTTAGTAAGCAAGAAAACGCGCCAGAAAAAAATGCAGGTGGAGACACCACCTTCAGATTCCCTCCCCAAACCTCGTGACATCATAAATTTTGACAGCGTCTAATGGGTCCCACGTAGCTTCTTATCGATAAAACTGAATTACATTGTCATCTGTAAGTGTGATGGACCTATCACACGAAGCTTTAGAAAAAAATTCATTCAGCTAATGTTACGAAAATACCATAAATACATATTGAAATATCCTACGTCACGCGTGGAGTTTCTGGCGCGAAATTTATATATGAAACATGAACATTAATTTTCTCCGCTAATAATCAACTTATAATTGCGAAACATGTGGCTTTAGATTTCTTAGGGTGCAGTTTGTCGATCTAAACCGAGTCATTGTTTCTTTTGAGTGTCTCTTTAACCAGACGGATACTGCAGCAAGCGCTTTGAAAACTGTTTCTCCAACCTTCCAGGCGGCTGCGCTGCCCACGTAACAGCCTGCACATGCATCTATTCGTGTCCTTCATCCTGCGGGCGCTCGCTTTCCTCCTCAAGGACGCACTGTTCATTGAGGGCGTCGGACTGACTGGAAACGTCGACTTCACCAAAGAGGTGAGGAAAAACTTTATCAGACTTATGCGGTGCACATTCCCGTGACACGTACGGCTGTTTTAGGACTTATCTGGTGCGCATTCTCGTGACATGTAGGGCGGTCTGAAGACTCATTTGGTGCACATTTTCGTGACATGTACGGCTGATTTAGGACTTATCTGGCGCACATTCTCATGACATGTACGGCTGTTTAAGACATCTGGCGCACATTCCTGTGACATGTACGACTGTTTTAAGACTTCCCGTGTCATGTACAACTATTTTAAGACTTATCCAATGCGCATTCCTGTGACATGTACCGCTGTTTTTAGACTTATCCGGTGCATAATCTCGTCGCATGTGCGGCTGTTTTAAGGCTTATCCAGTGCACATTCTCGTGACATGTATGGCTGTTTTAGGACTTATGTGATCGCCTTCTCTTGACATGTACGGCCGTTTTCAGACTTATTCGGTGCACATCTTGTGTGACACGTACGGCTGTTTTAGCACTTATCCAGTGCCCATTCCCGTGACATGTACGGTTGTTTCAAGACTTATCTGGTGCATCTTCTCGTGACATATACAACTGCTTTAAGAGTTATCTGGTGCACATTTTCGTGACATGCATGGCTGTTTTAAGACCTATTCTGTGCGCATTCCCGTGACATGTACGGCTGTTATAGGACTTAGCCGGTGCACATTCCCGTGACATGTACGGCTGTTTTAGGAGTTATTCGGTGCACATTCCCGTGACATGCACGACTTTAAGACCTATCTGGTCACATTCTCGTGACATGTACGGCTGGGTTTAATGTGTCACCCTCTATATTTCGACATCGAAGGCCATCTGTCAAAGCAGCTTACCTGTGATGGATCCACGGTTGTAATACCAAAAGGACAGAGTGTTCTTATTACGACATGAAATACGTGGACATGCCATGCGTATTTTGTTTGTGGCACGAGCTTCTTCAGACATTATTGGCCATCTACCATGACCACCCTGGCTTGAGGCGTTTCGACATTAAGCTGTGTCATAAATTAGAGTTATGGCATTTCATTATGTAAATAATTGTACATGGCGATCACATCTAAAAGAACCCGTCAAACAGGACTCACGGCACCTGATGGATCATATCTCAACCACGCACCTGTTTGACTTGGACGGACTACACTGATAATTCAAATTAGTGCGTAACACTCTGGCCAAAGCACCCGACGCAGTGGTCTAGTTAAAAGAACGAAAAGACGCGGTGGTTTGGTGGTTATGGCGCTCAAGTGCTGACACGCAGGTCACACGATCGGATCCCGGCTGCAGTAGCCACATTTTCGGAAGAGGCGAAAGTGCTCGAGGCCCCTGTTCTTTGATTAAGTGCATGTCAAGAAATTCTGTATGGCGAAAATTTCTGGAAGATTCTGCTACAGCGTCTCTCATATTTCGCGTCTTTTTTTTCTTTATTTTTTTAAATAGAACCACTATAAGTATTATACACGAGGTACGGAGCAAGAAGTTCGCTCACAGCGCTGTGTATGTCGCTTTCTGCAGTATTATATTTATTGATAATTATGTAACTATCATTCTGACTACCACTGTCTGGGTCATTACGGAAATGATACAGGCATAACAAAAAAAGAGACTTCGTAAACAGATGCAAGGAAGTGTCATCTCCTTAATTCTTAACGCTAAGGTAGACTTTACCTGCAAAGACCTCTATATAGACCATCATTTCTCAACTACTCTCACCGACTTCATTAAGAGCGACAGCCAAAATGCCCGGCGTCATCTAAAAGTACAAAAAATTTACACCGCGAGGTAAGTACCTTGCCCAAGCCTTCCTCACAGCATTCATCCATATCACCTGAATCACCTTAATTTGTCATGTGGCCTTTTACTGCGAGAGCCATAAATAGATCAGAACTATATAGTCGTTTTGGCAACGTATTTTTCTGACTCTGCCTTCGCCCTTGCCGCTGTCCGTAAACCGCTCTCGTGCCAGGATAAGAAAACACAAAATACAAAAAACATCAAGAACACAATGCAATTTGAACCCAGGCCCCTTGAGTGTCAGTCCGGTACTCAACCACTCAGTCACGTCGGTGCTTGAATTCCTGTTGCAAGCTCACCCTAAGGGCAGGTTTTATGTCGGGAAAATAATCGCGGTATTATGACTAATAAAGACTTTTGAACAGCAAATGGACAACCAGGCGTCACACAATGCAAGTTTTCATAACAAGTGGGTCGTCGAAAGCACCAACCCATTACAAAATACTCTGGCATAATTATTCATCGTTGTCAACCGCAGCTTCGAAAATTGCACTAAACTCCTTGCAAGTGTCTATCGGGTACCACTCTTCTCCTAAGAATGACAACGAATGGCATAGTGAATGCCATTCTTCCACGTTGTCACCGGGATTTCTGTTGTGCTGTAGAAAAATTCTTAATCGAATGAAGGAGGTTTTGATTGCAAATCTCTCAAGCATTAAAATTTAATTCCTTCAAACTATTTTATACTTCATTAGACTTACAAGTAATATTTGATCCCGTCTATATATTTACTCGTTTCTTGGTCAATCCCCCCGAGTGGGTGTGAGCCATGTATTTAGGTGATCATCATCATCATCACACTATTGTCATCATCATCACAGACATCTCCCTATATATTGCACAAAAATTGTGATCATTTATGGCGTAGTGGGCGCCCTGCAAGTGTGCTTGAAGCAGTTACTGAAAGAGTAGAAAGGTCGCTCTTCCAGAGCTTTTGCTGTGACTGTTCTGTGCGTTCGGCGTTGGCCTGGTGGTTTTTCGTGCCTAAATATAGCTTTTGGACGCCCGCGTGGCAGGCAAGCGCTCTGCCTGTTTGCACTCGCCCTGCGAGAAATTATGGCCGGGCCAGTGGGAGACCCGACGCCCCTTGGGTTTCTCTATAGCGAAGCAATGGCGTGATTTTTCCCCGCCCTCTTCTCGATTAGCTCCGGCAACGCGCTTTCACTAGCAATGGTGCGTTGCTGGAGAAAATTGCGGAGGCCACATGCAAGCTCGCTATCAGCACTCGCTGGTGTGATGATGCAGTACGTTACTTTTCCGATTCCAAATAGTGGCATCGCTTCCCACCAACCAAGGTCATCGTAAAAAAGAGAATGTGTGAGAGATACAAGGCGCGCTAAAGAAGCTATGCCCACGCGCGTTGGTAGCGCAATGCTTAAAGCAAAGAGAGGTAGTGGGTTAGACTCTGAGGTCATTGAAATCGGTGAAACATTTTCTTCTAGTTTTTTTTTGTATCTGTTCTTGTGTGTTTTTCACCAAAGTCACGTGTGCTAAGGAAATGATGTCAGTGGAGTATCTTGGTGGATCCCGGCATAAAACATTTCTGTGGCAAAATAAATATCGGCGCAAAACACTTTAGGGGTGAAATAAATATCGGAGGCGCTACAATGCAATTGAAGTTGGGTATTGATGATCATACAATGTTCTTGATGTTGAAACTCGCCAAACATCTCCTAGGATTAAAGAGTGATAGATTCTAGACGCTCTAGAACAATTTCAAGAGTACTCACGGAATTGTCTCTGTCTCACTATTGCTGTGTGTTGTCTCATGAAGCGAGTGCCACACAACATTTTAGAGGACGCCAGTACGAGCGGAGTTGCGAGGGTTTGTCGCACGTGGTTCTCCCCTTCTTTTTCGCTTACATGTGTAAGGGGTCGGATGGCAAGAGACAAAAACTGCATCCATACATCAGTGCACCTCATGACCTTCAGCACTATCTTTTTCTTTTCTTTTTAACGTCGAGGTTCCTTTCAGTGTGACAAGCGGGCTGGTTTAGTCATATATTCTGTGTAGTTCTAGCACTAGAGAGTGCAGCACGGGCACGTGACGTTGAAGTGATAACTTTTTATCAAAAGACCTCAGTAAAGGCCCATACGTTATGTAAGCGTGAAAAACACGTACGTAAGACGAACGAAGGACACAGGACAAGCGCTACTTTCAATTAAAATTTTAACAGAAGGAAACACCAAATATATAGGTGTAGTCACCAGAAATAAAAAGCATGAAAACTAGACAAAATAAAAAGAACAATCGAATAAAACGTCATACTGTCACTATATGAAGAGTTCATTCACACCAACACGTGTCCAGAGCGTAGCGCCGACAAGGGTCTAAGTGAAGACCTTGTTAGACATCCCGCCGATACCGCCTGCAAAAGTGCCAAGGAGTGCATTATACGCGACTGCCTCATGAGTACCCTCCAAAAAGTGAAGTTCCTTGCTTGCCAGGGCAATCGACGGCGCACTAAGCACAATTAAATTATTCCTCTTCACCTCAGTGGCCTCGACAATTAATGTAGAGTCAATGTATGAGATCCGATATAACACCACGTTGTTATCTAGAGATGGTTAGCACCCAGATTCTCGACTGTGCAGTGCGATCGAGATGCCCAGTCCACTCTTTTACGCACCTCATTACGATACTCGCTTAGACGGACATTGATACAGCATTCCGTCTGCCCGACAAGAACTCGGCCGCAGGAAAAGGTGCATAATAAGGTGCGTAAATAAGCAGATGGGCATCTGTGCGCTGCACCGTCAAGAATGTGGGTGTGAACCATTTCTAGATAACAGCGTGGTGTTTCATCGGTACTCAGCCATCGTCTCTAGATTGATTGTTGAGGCCGCTGAGATAACGAGGGATGATTTAATTGTGGTTAGCACTCCTTCGATTGTCTTGACAAGCAAGCAACTCCAACACCCGTATTCTAGAACATCCCTTTACTCAACACTTCATCTTCACTTGAGAAAGCCGATGGGAGCACCGTCTCTAGGCGCGGCAAGTCACTGCATATCAGTAATAATCTGCAGCGATTCTCGAGTAGCGTAGCGTCATTTTCAGTAGAGCGGTGGCGCAGCGCTTAACTCTGTCAAGTGAAGGGTGGAAGTCGAGTTGAGGAGCGGTTGTGGATACCGGGGTAACACCACCTAAAAAACCTTCGTGGCAGTGGGTGTTTCGCTTGGTTCGCGATGCCTGCCGTGCACAGAGTCTATACTTAATAAGAATTTGTAGTTGGGTGAGTTCTTGACTACATAGCATGTCGGTTTTCGCGCTAAGAAAAACAAACGCATGAGAGAAGGCGGTATACGAGTAGCACTCGAAGTGGTACGAACTGTAGTAGCACTCGAGCGCTGCTTTGTGACAATACGCAACGAATTCTACACTGCTACAACTACGGATTGCCAAACACTTAACAAAGTTGACGTCGCCCGAACATGAAACTGCGCTCAGAATCGTCGGTGAAGTTTAGGCTCACATATTTGTAGGCGCCTCAATTCATCACCATATTCTGACTGCAGGGCCCGTTGGATATGTCGGTTGTAGCTCTCGATGTGACCATTTGTGCTGGCGCTGATACCATGTGCTTGCGTGCAGAATGTGGACTGTAAGGTGTTCACCAGCTTCTGGCATTACGTGCTCATGGCCAACTACTGCTGGATTCTCATGGAGGGCCTCTACCTGCACAGCCTTGTGTTTCTCGCCTTTTTCACGGACAGCTCCAGCATACTGCGTTACGTAGCACTCGGATGGGGTGCGTGCCCAGTTTTTCTCTAGCTATCTTCTTTTTATTTACTGAGTGACTGCTACTTTACGTAAGTATTTATATTTCATTTACACGAATCCTGTGCTTCTATACTTCAGGTCTTCCAGTCCTGTTCATTGTTCCTTGGGTTGTTGTTAGAGCGACACTGGATGACACTCTGTGAGTAATGTTCTGAATTGTTCCATGCCCTAGCATCTTTCTGAAATGTGTGTAATATCACCATTGTTTATGCTCAAGAAGGATTGCTTTTATGCAGTTTGGTTCGAGATTAATGCTAAGCAACCTATCTCATACAGTCATACATACTTATTCAGGTAGCGCAATAACTTGACGAAGGGGAGGAATGAATACGAGTGCTAAACCTTAAGATTGTTCTCTGAAGCAAATAAATTTCTTCGTCACGTGTGCAACAAACGTCATCTATCATATACATCTGTCTTTTGATGTTTGGAATCTATAGCATTGTTTGACGTCGATACACCCACGTAGACAACTATAGTTTAAACGTGGGTCCATCCACGCTGGTGAAATCATTATCACAGTTAAACATGAAGACTATTCCGTGAAGGTGAATCACCATCGTTATTTACCATTTGAGGTAGCTGAAGTAGTTAACATAAACTTGGACACAGCACATCGCGAATGATGGTAAAGGTGACATCTACAAGCAAATAATATAAACCGTTACTCGATATCCACTGATTCAAAATGTCGTCACTAGACGGCAGGAGCACCTGTGTGTGTGTGTGTGTGTGTGTGCTTCCCAGTAATAAGGTACTTACGCCTGTGCTCAAGCATATGCCACGCAGGGCCTCAAGAACGCGACAGGCAGAGTTTCTAGCTTGAAGGAGGGAAATCGAGCGTTCGGCTTCGCGCTGGCATGTCTCTCTACCAAAGCTCTTACTGCACAACATTCGATTGTAGACATCTTTGACGTTCTGTGCCGCTTAATGCAGCAGTTTTATTAGACGGGGCTGTCGCACCCGAAGCAGTGGGTGGCAAATAAATACCGTTGGTGCATGTGGAAGCTGGACCGTTCTGGCGATGAGGTGTCGCACGCTAACACGACGCTAATGGAAAGTGCGTACAGCGCCGTCACCAAACCGAATCACCGCGAACGGCGCATTTGTGCATTTCCTACAACGATGCACCCACTGTCCCAAAACCATTCGTTGCACTAAAACTACCGAAGCGATCCTTGTTGGCGCTCGTCAAAGCCATGTACGGAGGGAGTCTGGTGAATGGGCGGGGCAGGGACGTTGCGTGGCGGTGATAACACCAGCAACGCCATCATCGCATCATATTTGCACCACCTGCGTGGTCGCTGTACAGCCGAGCTCATTTGCGCGCTATTCAAGCTTGGAACTATAGCATCGCTCAACATAATGTGAAGGTAAAGGTGTGCAGGAACATTGTAATACAGTTTTAATAAATAGTACGAACATGATCGCATGTACGATAACATTCAAACCACAAAACTAATGACTTCTAAAGTTATGTACGAGGATTCCCAGCTGAAACATGCTGCTGGCGCCTCACGACTTCTCGTATCTAGCGAGATCATGCCGCACTCTCATCCAAAGCTTTCTCTGTTGCCACGCAGAAAATTCTACAGATAAAGACATGGGACAATCGCGGGTCTTTCTGTGCAGACTTTCTTCGTGTTCGCGTGTATTCTGGAAGCATTCAAATATCATCAATTAGCCTAGCTAGAGCAGAAATGCACTAAGGAGTTATGAGTTGACTGTCATCCGCATTTATAGGCGTTCGCATGGTTCTCTATTGTAGAAAAAGGTCTCATCACAGCGCGGGTCTCATTACAGCGCGGCGCTATTCACGTGACATCTTCCCGTTAAAATCACGTAACGTGCTCACGTGGCGTAAAAATACGTACTATGGCGATGTGGCATGTTCTTGCTAAAATCACGTAGCAATATACACGCATCCCATGTGTAAATTACGGAATGAGTTCAAAAGCACAGGTAGTTTGTGAGATAGTTTCTTCATAGAATAACTTGGCCGCCCACTGACCACCTTCCTCTGTTCGTATGAATGTCTGTCTTTTGCTAGATTAGATAGTTCATGAAAAAACTTCGTTTTGGTCGTTCAAACGCTAAACTTAACTTGCAATATTTAATGCTAAACACACTGATTAAACTTGCTTTCAAAAATAAGTAGGAGGTATAGGAACTATACGGTACATTATAGAATGTTCCTGCAAACTTTCAAGATTTATATATTTTGTTGCACACTATACCAAAAAAAACACTATTATAGGGATGAAAAAAGGGTGTCTTGTAAACAAAAAAGCTTCGCTTTGAAAGGTAATATAGCTATGTCACGCGCCGTTATACCGACCACACGAAATAACTTGCCTAGAAGCGACCGGATGTGTGCATCCCAAATAATCTTTTGTGTAAATGTTACTCCTAATATTTTCACACTGGTTAACATTTCCATTCTTTCAAGTGCATAAAAATGGTGATGTGATTCCAACATCTCTGTTTAGATTTTGGGCTGGAAATTCTATTGTTGGTCTTTTTTTATTCATTGGAAGAATAATTGATGTTCACCATGCATTCTTGAAGAGCTTCTTGAGAGCATCGTTGGCTTTGGTCTAAAACACTCAAGGCATTTAGGTTCACAAATATGGGCATCGCACAATGCAAGTTATTAAACTGGTGGTCCGTTTAAACCCTTAAGCCCACTACAAAAAGCCCAGCCATAATTCTTCGTCATGATCGGGCACTGCATCAACAAAGTACACGTATTGACTTCTAGATGCGTAGCGGGTGCTTTGCTTCTCCGCAATATAACGAATAATGTCGCAGTGGGTGTTTCCCTTCTTCGAAAGGATTATGATTATTTATGACAAAGTGGGTGCCAACGCAGGTGTACTTGTAGCAGTTGGCACAAGAGCGTTTAAAGAAGGCTCTAGAGAGGTGCTCTTCCAAATTTCGCTGTGGCAAAGCTGCAGATGTTCCGCGCCGACCTCGAACTCTTTATAAATCGATCTGTCCACTAACCTAACAACAAGTTATTTAACAGCGCAAAAAAAAAGGTGCATCTTATTGGTTGCCCAATTGTACGAACATAAATTCGCAATGCCACACGTAGACAAGTATAGTAAGGAGTACCTCAATTAAAGTGCACTTCAAGCCTAGAATAAGGCATTTTGTTGCTAAGATTTCTCGCGAGCCAAATTTTTTATTTGTTTGAGTCGACTTTCACCTTCGCAGTTTCAACAAATACAGATTATAGTGAATCAGTTTATTGTACCTGCGTTACTTCCTTAGAACGGGGTTCTGTTCTATAAGTGTTTTAATATGCGCCGCTTGCGTCATTTAATCCATTGACAACTGTCAAAAGGAATTTCGCAGCGAACAACAACAAAAAAAACACTCGCATTTTTAATGTCTTGACAGCTGCTGGACAACCAACCCAAGGCAAGACTTGTTCTGGATCATACGTGGACCAATCACAGCTTCCATTCTGGTGAGCTCGGCTTCCTATTTGTCAAAAGATATTTTGCAGTATCGTGAAAAAATGAAAAAGTCTGCTGACTCAAGAAGCGGCACATTTTCGCTTTTTGCCCTCCCAAAATCCCGCATTATTCACCTGCACATTCTGACTGAGACCACAAAAGCTAAGCAATAGTATGTCATACCTGGACGGACGCATGAAGGTTCCTTCTTACAATGTGAGCCTCTAACTGAGCCTATATACAGTAAGGTTTTGGTTATTCGAATCTTGCAGGGTCTACAAAAATGGTTGTATGATCCGAAATTTGTATCACCAGAAAATGTTGAATATATGTGTATGTGACAGAAGAAAGCTGGCGTACGTTTTCATTTGTTTTTCTATTTAATGAATTATATGCGTTGTGACACTTGTGACCGATCAGATACCATAGTAGCTCCTTTTTTATCTTTGCACGCTGTCCCAAATGCCACCGCAGTACTGTGGTGTAAGTGACCTAACGAGTGCTTCGCATGCAATAGAGGAAGGCCACAAAACTTTATAGCCACTCTGTTTTGTTTTCTTACGGCGGTGGTGTTGAGATTTTTTTTTTTTTGGGGGGGGGGGGGGTATTTGCGGTTGTGGAAGCAGGACTTGGAGGTTTTTCTCAAAATTCTGAAGTCTACAGTGCAAATCGCAGAGTTGGCAGGTGTGCACGTCCTCAGCTGTTGTGCGTGTTGACGTTGCCAAGCCTATCCTTAGCCAAAACCATCCGCTTCCTCTTTCGGTCCATGCTTGTTCATGTTTCATCGGATGTGTTCTTGCGAGGACATGACTTGCCTCAACATAAGAGGTACGCGTCAACACAGTACGGTCACGCTGCCTCGAGCATAACGTGCACGTGTTGACCTGTTTTAAAGAGAAAAAAGTCACAGTTTCACCGCAAGGGTAAAGCAATAAGTGCAAGAGCAACTCATTTGAATTTTAGAAGATTGGCAAGCAGATCGAAACGTTCAGCGTGCTGCTCACGCACAAATGACGCATAAAAACAACACACACAGGAATGAGAGTGACCTAACAACGTTCACAGCTACAAACTTATTGCGCCGCTCAAACAAAAACGATGCATAAAGTGTGCTCACAGGTACAGATAAGCGCGAACTAACAAGTGTCGCAGTTGTTACTTCGCTACGTTTGAAAAACGCGCTCTTTTTCGCAACGAGAACTCTGCAGCGAGTGAAGTGCCCTACGTGCGCTCGGTAACTACAGCGCAATCGTTCGGTGAAATCCCAAGACGCACAGTTCTCCCCGACAGCGGCGCGCGCGCGCACTGGCGTCTAGCTCCCCACCCCGCTGGGCAGCACGTGTGGGAGAGTAGCGCATGAGCGTGCGCGTCGCGACGAGCGGTCCACCGAGCGCACTCTTTGCATTGTTTTGCCATCTAGCAGGTATTATTGAGAGCACACTACTTTCCCCGATAATAGCATACCACCAGCAGTGAGTGGTCTATATGATAGCTCGCCGTTTGAATGATTACGGATGTGCCTTTTTCGTAGTTCATCGGTTCACGCCGCGCGCTGCGAAGCGAGAGGTCACTTATTCGATTCCGCGCATCGGGAACATTTTTCTGGATTGTTTTTCTTTGTAGCTTTTATAAGTGTTCATAATTACCTCAGGAAACGTAAAGGTATGAGTGACACTTTTTCAAGCATAGAAAACTTTGTGCACACCGAGTTATAGAGGTAGCAAGCTACTGAAAAAGAACAGAACTTATGTAACCAAAAAAAGACATTAGCTTAGTTGACATTGAGTCAGTACAAATAAAAAGAACTTCTTTTAACAAACGCAAAAAAAGAATCCAAAGCCCCTAATAAACGGGCAAGAAGCTAAAAAAAGCTATCAAGCTGCGAAATAAACACTCCTTCCTGCAACTTGCCTTGTCGCGTTGCAAAGACACATTTTTCTTCATTCGCTATGAAGTTGTAAGTCCGAATAATTTCGGTGGCATTAAAAACTTTTTCGCACACTCTAACGTGTTCAGCTTCCTGTCATGGAAGCTGAACATCCCCACTTATCCATCTCATCGCCTTCCCTAGGCAAACTAAGCGACACCTTTTCGCTCACGAGTCTTAGGGTTGGAGCGCAAACTTGGTACACAACATATCTTGCGCATCGTCGACCACGTACACCATCCGTGTTATTGCCTACTATTAGCACAGCCGTCAGTCACACAAACGCAGGAAAACGATGAGTACAGAATGGCTATTATGCTGGTTTTCTCGTGTCCCCAGCTCTCCCTATATGCAGCTCTCCTCAATTCTCCCTGCTCGCGCCTAGCGCCACGGCGGGTCCGTAGCGGCGACATAGCAAGCTTTCTCCAAAGCATTACGGGGGAATTTCGTGACCAAAAAAAGCATTGAAGGACTCTGTTTGGAGGTAGCTCAGCTCGCCCGTTCATGTAGCTCTCCTTGGGGCGCCCGAGGCGATATAAGAAACTTGCTCTCTGCCGCCTCGCAAGAACAGCTTGCATCGAGCTGCAATCTGCTCAAGTTCACCGTTAATCTAATATAGCCAATTAAGGCTATGAGATCAAAAATCCACGCTTTTGTAAATATTTTTGTCTTAGCCTGCTTTTTGTGAACTTACATTAACCGTCGGCTTCATGGCCAGTCCCCGGTAGCTCCATTTGCCGAGTAGCAAGTAGGCAAGTAGATGTTGTATCACGAGGACTGTTTGTAAACATAACGTGCCATGTGAGCATCTTTTTAGATAGCCCATAAAGGCACACTGCTGATGGAAAATATTACAGTGTTCTTCTTCTCATGGGATTCTTAAAGCGATAAGAAGGAAAAGTGAGCCCCGTAACTGTCTGCATCAGAGTGCAACACCTCAACAGTAGCTCACGAGGGATGGTGGTAAAGAAGGATTAAAAGGATAAGATTAGAAGGTAGAGAGAAAGAGAGAGAGAGAGAGAAGCGCAGGGACAGGGAACGACAGAAAACGACGGAAGTAAAGAGGAGATAGGAAAGATGGACACGGTCGCCGGAGTCCGAGGACGGGACACCACTCGGCGAGAGCTCTTGTCGGCTTCAGGAGATGGCGTAGGGTGAGCCCAGTCGGGCAGAGCTGCGCTGTCGCCGGAGATCGCGGGGGCACAACCGGTCGGCACGAAATCCAGAGAGCGAGTCCTTACAGAGTTGCCATATTGGATCGTTATTTAAAGCCATAGACATTACGTGTATGCAGCTGCAACTATCACGAAAACCAGCTTGTGAAATACTGCAACTGCTCGTTTTTCCGGTGTCTATCGCAGGTGAACTTCATATTGTTCCTGAACATTACACGTGTGTTGTTCGCTAAACTGTTTGCCTCTCAAACACCGCAAGCAAGGAAATACCGGTACAGGTAAGGGTACTTGGCAATATACAGCCGCCGTACTTGAATTGCTGTCGTTGCTGTCACGTGCCAGTTTGGTGCATATGACTTCGTCTTGGGGAAATCACACTGCTCAGGTGTTTTACTGGGGCTGAGCAAATCTTCTTTGGCTTGGCGGGGCTTTCATATAATATTCGAATGAAGTAATGTTTATTAAAACCTGTCTCTTAAGTAAAGAAATTTTCCAAACTAGACACCATATATATATTAGGACGTGTTTGGTTCATGTGTTTTGTTCTTTCTCAATGCTTCACAGTACCACTCTTCCATCGACCTTTTACTAATTGTCTTAATGTATCTGGCTAAGTGTCGGAAAGAAATTCTTAAAAATCGATAAGCAATAGATATTATTAGTCTACATTATAAAGCGCGCCTTTTAGGCATTTCAGCATTATGAATTGAGTCGTATGTTTTGTTAATTTCTCATAATTTTATTAAAAGTTGGCCTGACGAGAAAACTTCTAACTTTGTAGCGAGTGTTTGACTTGGTGATCGGCACTCGGTGACAAAGTGTAATGACGACTGTCAAAGCAGGGCACGGACTCCCAGTTCGAGTGGCATTCTGTCGGAAAGGAGCTGAAGAGAACGACTCACTATAGTTTGAAGGGCTCACTGCATCTCACAAGTATACCTCGTAGTGTTGCCGAAGCTACGAAGAGAACACAGGCCGTATTCTTGCCCGGCACATAATATAGTTCTGGGCTCAACTGTTTTATTATCAACGAGGTACAATAGCTTCAGCTGTGCTTCTCGCATGCGACACGTGGCATGTTATGCCCTTCGTGCATTCACTTCACAATTTCTGAAATAATGCAGAGACTACCAGCTGGTAGCCGTAATAGCCATCATAAACGCGATGACGTATATAAACGTGGCAGCCCCTGTACACCCACGACCATCGGCTTCTAACTGAATTGATGCTTTTTACTGACTCCTTGCCCAGAAGAAATTAACCGCGGATAATGTGCCATCGCTTAGTCTATTCTAACGCTCAGTACACATCCTCAGACATATTTTCTCACTATTATTTAGATCGCTCGTTCGTTTTCATGTTGTTAGGACTAGTGAGTTGGTGCCGAGCCGTAAAAGTGATTCGATGTTAACTGACCAGATGTCGCCGCAACATTAGCGGTGATGCGTTGACGATGCGAAACACCCTGAATGTCTGTATTGTTTGTTGATTGTTTTCAATGCGAACAATGTCCTGTTCCACGTGGTTGCTGCTGAAAGTGTTTCAACCGTTCTGTCAAAAAAAGAACTCAGTGAAAACGCCAGTATCAACGCTGTTATAAAAAGAACCGCATTTCTCAAAAAAAATTGTCAACACACCCTATACAAGTGCGTTTTTGAACAAAGAGGCGGTGACGTGGCGTTCCAGCAAAGGTTTTTCCGTGTTGCATTCACTGCAGAAAAAGAAATGGCAGATCCCACGTACAGTGGGAATCGATGACATGTGAAGCACGAATGAGAAATGTTGATATGCCACTTTAAAATCAGCACAACGTTACGAGGTAGAGGTAAATGATGCCGCACACGTCTTCCGTGTCATAATTATCATGTTTGGATGTGTCGTTTACCTTCGTCATCTATTAATCTCACGTGATACCAGATTTAGTATATGTGAAGCTAGTGAAACGACCACGAGTACGCTATGAGTGTGGTATGTTGTCATGTTCTTACATGACACGTGTGTCAGGATTATTATGTTTGCACCAGTCGTATATCTCGTAATTCATTGACGTCACGTGACACCAAATTCAGTATATTTGGAGCTATCAAAAAAGCCGCGAGCGCATCATGAAGGGCCCAATATACTCCAATATAGTGTTGACGCGCGTGCACACTGGACACAGCGACACTACGTTAGCAAAACGCCAGCACTATATATAGTATGATGCCAGGCGCAACCTGCGTCGGTCGGCGCGGCCCGACGGCAACCGGCGCGAAATGCGACATGCTGCATTTCGTGGCGATGCGTTAGCCAGACAACATTGCGTCCCTCTCTTTTCGTGATGGAAGGACGCCGGGCGCGCTGAAACGCGCATGCGTCAAAGCAACGGAGCGTGGTGCGCAGCTGCAAGTATATGGCAGGACCGGTGCATGGCGTGGCAACGCCGGCGTGACGCGACGAAACGAACGCCGGCGAGCACGCGCACCGCGTCACGTCGAAATGTATTGGCGCCTTGACTGTGCCATGTTCTCACATGACACGCATCTCATGATTATCATGTCTGCACCAGTCACATACCTTCGTCATCCATTTACGTACTGTAATAGCAAATTTGGCATATGTGACGCTAGCGAAACGCCCGTGAGCGCATCATGAGCGTGGCATTTATTCATGTTGTTACATGACACGCATGTCGTGATTATCATGTTTGGATGTGTCATTTACCAATGTCGTCCATTCGCGTCACGTAATACCGAGTTTAGTACATGTTAAGCTAGCGAAAAGGTCGCGAGCGCATCATGGGCGTAGCATGTAGTCATGTTGTTACATTACACGCATCTCATCTTTATCATATTTGCACCAGCAGCATACCTTCGTCATTCATTCACGTCCCGTAATACCAAATTTGGTATAAGTGAAGCTAGCGAAACGGCCACCAGCGCATCATGAGCGTGGCATGTAGTCATGTTCTTACATGACACGCATCTTAAGATTATCATGCTTGCACCAGACACATAATTTCGTCATCCGTTCGCGTACTGTATTACAAAATTTGGTATATGTTACGCTAGTGAAACGGCCGCGAGCGCATCACGAGCGTGGCATTTTGTCATGTTGTTACACGGCACGCATGTCATGATTTTCATGTTAATGTCTGTCGCTTGTGTTCGCCATGCAATCATGCCATACCACACCAGTTTTATAACATGCTATGTGAACGAAACCACCGCAAAAGCTGCAGGACCATGAAATGTATATCACGACATTCATGACATCTATGTCATGATTTTCATGTTATGAATAGTCAAATACGTTCTTCATGCAGTTATGTTATGCCATACCAAGTTTGGTATCGATATCATTATCGAAACAGCCAGGAGAGTTAAAAGTCGTAGGCGGATAGATAGATAGATAGATAGATAGATGATAGATAGATAGATAGATAGATAGATAGATAGATAGATAGATAGATAGATAGATAGATAGATAGATAGATATATAGATAGATAGATAGATAGATAGATAGATAGATAGATAGATAGATAGATAGATAGATAGATAGATAGATAGATAGATAGATAGACGGACGGACGGACGGACGGACGGACGGACGGACGGACGGACGGACGGACGGACGGACGGACGGACGGACGGACGGACGGACGGAACGGACGGACAGACAGACAGACAGACAGACAGACAGACAGACAGACAGACAGACAGACAGACAGACAGACAGACAGACAGACAGACAGACAGACAGACAGACAGACAGACAGACAGACAGACAGACAGATAGATAGATAGATAGATAGATAGATAGATAGATAGATAGATAGATAGATAGATAGATAGATAGATAGATAGATAGATAGATAGATAGATAGATAGATAGATCGATAGATAAGATAGCTGCTCAAAGTCGCCGAAGTTCGCCAAGAAATGTTCGCATTTAATACGTATCGAAAAGGTAGGGGAGCCGTAGATACGAGAAGCAGACCACTTGACGCGGATGAACACGTCTTCAGGGGGCTTTCACTTTTGCTATTGGCCGAGAAGCCCCGCAGCTTCCACAGTGCTGCAAGGTACTTATGAGATGGATCCCAGACTATCTTGCGTGCCTTTGCTCGAACAACTCGTTTTATTTATTTTTTTTCTTTTTTTTTTTTGTAGCTTCCTTTGGAACATCAGTGCCATGACGAATGAAAACTTCTGCAGTGTATTAAGCAGTCACGTTGCTAGGGGTAGCATATCGGGCCCATGCTATCAGCCCCAAAATTTCTTTCGCCATGGCATATAGAGCCAAGAAAAGAAAAAATCCCGACCACATATACCAGCCCATGTACCACTTCAGATCAATGAGGTGCCCACATGAGAACGAGGAGGTGAACTTCAGAGCGAGGAGGTGCCCCACCCCCCAAAAAATGTTCTGGTTATGCCCCTTGAGGCAAGGATTGATGACCACATCCTTCAAAATATAAAATGTGTTTCTACTAAAATCCTTTATATGACACACGGTGCCGTGCAAAGGAAATTTCATGATTGATAGGCTCATATACGCGTCATTGAGCGCAAACAACACATTTGCGACGTTGAGCATCCACCCGCGGTTAGAAGTTTATGACTTTTATGGTTGAAAACGGTGAGTTGACAATACTATTACAGCATTATTACATGCTCGCATTTTATATGATTCTTGAATAACCAAGGAAATACTACATGTCAAGCTGTTCTTATGACAAAACTGGCACTTTCAGCAGTTTCGTTCTTGTTGACGATGGGTGGTCTAACATTCTTGCGGGCAATTTTTGGAAAAAACTGCGTAGACAGACACTTTTTGCAGCAAAATAATTGGCAATACATTGTGAATATATTAAGACCAAGACCGCGAAATGAGATTTTGAAGAAACAAAAGTTTGCTTTTCCCTCTTGGCCTTATACATTAATCCACGAGACCCCGAACAAACAGCTGTTTCTTGTCATTCCAATGAAACATATTCCATCCCAGCTCTTCCAAAGCACCTGTACACTTGTTTGCCTGTACCTCGCTTTATAACTGCTAGTCGCGATGTATACAGAGGGAAGAGAGGAGAAAAGTAAGGACAGGGTGGCATACAGAGCATATCGCACTTGTTGGGAGCTTCGCGCGTTGTCAGCTCAGCTTTTTATGCTCATGTTCATGGGGACCAGCAATCAATATTGCTTATAAGAATGCGAGAGTGGGTCCCCTCGGCGAAAAGGCAGACGCGGAAAGAAGGGGCTTACATCTCACAGCGCGTCTTCTAGAACTTTCACCACTATGAGGAAATTTGTATTGTCCCATCTGCTGCAGAAAGTGGTTCAAGTCGACGCTTGTCCTGGTGCCTTTGTTCGGTGCTCACTACGCATTTCTGCTGGGCATGTCGCTGGCTGCTGCTGGGGACCTGCTCGAACTGGTGTGGCTGTACGTCGATCAACTATTCTCATCTTTCCAGGTAAGTGCCTGGTAGGAAGCGACGATTATGTTTAGACTTGCTTACAATTTGGAGTACTCGTTCCTGTTGACGTGTGAGCAACATCGCAGCAGAAGAAACACGTGTAATTTCGGCGTAGAAGCCGGCGTAGAAGCCCTCTTTCTCTGACGCCAAGCGATGTCACGCGACTTTATACTTCTTCGGAAAAGCTTTCAAGTCCGCCAAAATAGACAGTTATAGTTTAGCGTTAGCGTGATAGCGTAGGTTAAGGGAATGACGATACCGGGCAGCAAACGTTCGTTGTAGGCAGCGTCTTATAGTTTAGCGAAATAGCGCTTACGTGGTTTACGTGCCCCCAAGTGCGATGGTGGCGCCACCTAATAGATGGTTAATAAGTTAAACAGTGAAAATGAAAATAAAACAAGAATGTTTGCCTATGCCACCGCGCGAAGCATTGTTAGAAGTTTATTTTTGTGATAATAAAAGTAAATAAATATGAACCACGTAAAAAACGCGAAAACATCTAGGTTGCCGATTTGTTTACATTGGTCTTGTAGTTAGGCCTAGGTGCGTTCGAAATGGGAAGCTATCTCAAAAACTACGCCAACTTATCCGTAATACTCAGTCATCGAAGCTAACTGAAGGCAAGCGAAGCCACTTTTAACAGTCGTTTGCTGCGAACAAGGTGAATCTTCCAAAAACTACGCCAAAATCACTTCGAAGCGGGCGTCCGAGAGCGCTGCCATGTTTACGTACACTACGTGCACCTACGCTACCTTACGCGTACCGCTTACCATACACGCCGATACCGCGCGTACGGTAAGCGGTACGCATAACGTACGTATCTGCGCATGCGCACTTCGATTCCGGTATAACGGTACGCCCGGTATCACGGTAAGCCCGGTATACTATAACTCTCTAATATACGCAGGAGTGAGCTATACGTAGGTTTGGAATCCTGCGCATGTTGACAAAAAGTCACAGCTTTGTCGCAAAGGTGAAGCAATGAACGCGATAGCAACAAATTGGAAGGTCATGCGCAGAGTAGAAAGCAGATCGAAACGGGCCCCACGTTTCTCACGCACAAATGACGCCCGAAACGTACTCGCAGATACATATGCACGCAAATAAGCGTTTCAGTTGTTACTTCGCTGTGTCTGAAAAGCGCGCGCTATTCGCAAACGGAAACAGCAATGATTGCAGTTAGCTTTGCGGGCCCGGTAACTACAACTGAATCGTTCCAGGTAAAGCACGAGGCCAGCCAAGACGTACGATTCTCCATTCCTGACCAACGCGAGATGAGCGCGCGCAAGGGAGCGTCGCTCCCCTTTTCTAAGCGGGGCAAAGTACGCATGGGAGATTAGAGCACGCACCACCACGCGATTTGGCGATGCTAAGGTTCCTAGATGAAACAAGTTTCCAAGGCGGTGACACCTTTCACTTTCCTCCTAGCCTATAATCCTGGAGTGCCCCCCCTAGAAAGTTGAAAAGTTGCATCAAAAAGCGACTGTTTGGGTTCAGTTGCCACGCTGAATAAATGTAAATGAAACAAAATGGAACGGAGTGAGTCGTAGAATGAACAGTTACCTTTATGAATATAAACGCTACAACACAAAAGCAAGCGGGATCAGCGATACCTTCTTCTTTCTCTATGGCGATACCCAACTGGCAACGTTGTGCAGTTCTACATTTTACCCCACTAGCCATGGTGTTTCGCGTCGTTCATCGTAGTTCGTACAGTCCTCTATTTATCCGAAAGTGTTTTGTCGTGCTGTGACACAGTGAACGCGCTTCTTGCTGGATCTTGTCAGTGACCACAGGGTATGACGTTGTGACGAGTGATTACATTGGACTTTTGCACGCGCAACAAAAAACCACGGCCAGACTAGCAGCACTGCAATGACGGTTTTTTTTTTAAATGTGCCCATTTTGACAATCGTGATGCCAGGGGACTCTGGTGCGGTGCGCGGATCTTCCTGAAAAGTGAGAGTTTTACTGATGAGGTGTCCCGAAGCAGCACGTTTCGGCTCCTCTATGCCGCGTTCTTGTCAACTGGTCAAGCGTGAAATGTTGCTGCAGGTGTGCTGATTACATGCTCTAGCTGCTCTGTATACGTGAATACGCACAAGTATTTGTAACAACTGCAGCATGCAATTTGACGCGCTCCTGGCGTTTCAATGAAGAGCGACAAATAAACTCGCGTCGCAGATCCACGTCGACGTATGTCAACGGAATTGCACGAAAGCGTTTGCACGAAATGTTTGATAGCTACACTTCACGCGTGATTCATTTCGAATAGCACAAGGTAAGTTGAAGAGAGCAAGACCATTTTCTGTTGTTCTACAGCAACCCAGCTTTGTTGAAAAACTCGGGTATTGCATTGAAAAAGCACCACGAAACAATCTCGGCCAACTTGGCGCCAACTGAAACGCTCCTCCTCGTCAGTTTATGTCCTCGCTACGATTTCACCGTCTTTGATCACGGCGAGAATCCGCCTGCAACCATATGCGCATGCGTACTCGTTTTGAACCTTTTTCATAATGATAAATAACACCACCAGCCATTTGCAAGATCACGTGCAAGGAGTGGACCAATTACAGACGCGGATGCACAGAAAAGGAGGGGTAAGCGAGAGAGTGATTATGACGATATCGAGAACAATGAGTGACGCTACCTTGGAAACTTGTTTCATCTTGGACCTTAGGCAAAGCGGGCGAATTGCGCCATCTTGCTGGCAATGCTCAAAACACAATAGTCCCCCAGAGATGCCCGTCAGCAGCGGTAAGGGGGTAGATATAAATAGCTTGCCGTTTGAACGTTGAACGACGTGCTCCTGGGTGGCTTAGTTATTAACTTTTTTTAACGCCTTCGCTATTCAGAGGACCCAAGTTTGATTCCGCGCGACGGAGTCTTTTTTGTTTTGTTTTCTATTTCTTGCATTTTCATATATATATAGATACGTATACGTATACGGTGAGTGACGGTGACGTCTATGCCTGCGGCGAAATCCAGCCGAAGGTGTTCATATGATTTCTCTCGCAATAATAAGTGACTTATGACGGAATATTTCGCTGGAAAGTTTTATGGCACACTTTCGTTGTGGTCAGGCCTCTCGTAACACCTTAAGATTTCACCTGAGTCTGCAAGATGTCAGTTCCGCTGAATGACTCACTCAAATTTATCCGAACACCCATTCAGGCCATAAACTTGGGCACATCGAGATTAGTCGTCTGCCGCTTGGATAAATGCACCCTGCGTGGGAGCTGAAGATTGTCCGAATACCTACTCTCGGCTGTTTCCCTTTGACCCTCATGAGTTGGTTACATGAGAATCGAACGCAACCCAAACACCTCTGTCCATGTCGTCGCTTCTGTTGCAGCGTCAGTAGTTCGCTTTACTTATAATAATAATAATTTTTATTTCCATCAGCGATGGAGGAGACTGCGGGTAAAAGTTGCCTGAAGGCACAAGCAACTTGACAGAGGCCCGCAGCCACCCCTACAGTGCAGGCAGCGATGGCAAACATTCACATAAAGAGAAAAAAAAATCACAAGAAACACATATTCGGAATACAGATATGTCTAAAAAAAACACATCAGTAAGGAAGAATGAAAAAAAAAGCAATATTTTACACTATTTACTATGTTAGCATGAATTGATGAAATGCTCGCGCAGTGTTCGTGCAGAAGTTATTTTCAATTCAATGTGTAATTTATGAAATGAATTTAAAAGGGTTGGCAGCGTGTATGATAGCTTCTGCATAGAATAGCTTGTCCGCGCAGTGACCACCTTCCACTGTTCTATGTAACGAGTGCCGTATGAATGGGTGTTTTTGGCAAGATGAGCAACTTCAACTGTTGCTCTAACCTGGGCCACGGCATTTTATGGTTGAAGCCCAGAAGCTTTTTTGTTTGTTTCATGCGTGCAAAAATAACTAAAAAGCCACGATGGTGAAGCCAGGGCCACGATGGCGTTTCACTTATTTGTCTTGCTTGCTGTTGCTACTCTGCTGCTCGAACATTTGACACATTACAACAGAGTGGCCTTTGCCCTGCAATGGGCGTGGCCAGGCTGATGATGATGACTGGTGATGATGATGATGATGATGATGATAGCAGCAGAGAGGTGTTAGAATGGGGTATGGTAACATAGGCAGTGATGTCATTTCTGTCACCTTTTCGCGGTCTGGAAAATTGGTAATTTACTCCTTTGTTTGGCTACAATGGGAAGTTTGAAAATATGCGTCAATAGCAGGATAGGTAAACCGTGTTTGAGAGGGAAATTGCTAGCATCACATGATAACATGAGGTGTGTAAAATGTTAACATAAGTCATGCATGAAAGTTTAGCTTTACACAAGTACCAACAGCGGTTCGATACCTAATCACATCTTTGATAAGCATGCACCTCATTTCCACATGCGCACTGTCATTGTTCAATGAATCGTGCAAATGCCTGCTCAAACCGTATTTTTCCCCTTCGAGAGCTGGATCCCACCAGCATCGAAGCTTCCTAAGCACGACCTATACCATTTCCAATTTATATAATTTCACTTTTCATTCCAACGTGGTCTCAAAGGATGCACTTCAAGAACAGTCGGTGATCGTGGCTAATAGGCTGCACTAATGATGTCAATTCATGCAGGGTTTCGTGGTGGCGTTGCTGTACTGCTTCTTGAACGGCGAGGTGAGTTCTTACAAAAGTTCAGAAGGTTGTTTAGCAGGACCGTGTTTGCTATGGCATCACTTTCTCGCCATCTTTGTCGCGCTTTAGCAAAAATTTACCAGCGCTAATTAGCCCTGTTAACTGTATTTCCAAAGCTACGAAAATTCTCAAAGTTGATCTCTTCGATTAGCGTACGCGTCAGCTAAAAGGGCAAGTCAAGAATGCCACAACAGCGGACTTTGAGGCAAATCGACCGCATAGAACTATTTTGGTTCTGTAAACAAAATTTTAAAAAAATTGTTGTTTTCGCGAAAGATTATTGAAAATAATTTTAACATCTCTAGTCGTTTACTCAGACGAGGTGCTGCATTCCTGTCACTACGCTTTTTTCCGAGTGATTGTTGCAGCCAAACACGGCAATGTTCTCCGTGATGCCACAGCATACAGCTGCGTAAAAACACAGCACGCATGATCTCTGTCGCGGAACGCCAGTCTTCGTTAGGTGAAGCACTGTCAGAAAGACGGAGCCGCGAGACAAGCAACAGAACGCCTTTAATGGTGACAAAAGAACACTAAATTGTGATGACAGTGCTGCACGCACCTGTTGGCGCTCGCTGAGGACCACTATCATTTCTTCTTCATTGCCGTCTGCTATCTCGTATACAATCTCCTCACGCCAACCAACTTACGCGTAACACAGCACTATTCGCGCCGCCAACTCGATACGATGGCTTCGACGATTGACATTTTCAATACTTGTCCAACGATGCACGACCAAGCACGAATGAAATGACCTGAAAGATGGCATGGCGCCCCAGCGATGCTGCACACATATATAACCACCTCGTGGATCAAGGCACTGTGAATACCCCTCTAATGCCCCTCTAAGACTTCACAGAAGCCGATGATTGAAAATATTTTATTAAAAATATTTCAGAAGTAGCCTTACCAACTTCGTGATTAGGCTCTGTAACCGGTCGACGCTGATTGTCTCATTCACTCCGTTGTAGGTGCAGACAGAGCTTCGCAAGTTGATTGAGAGATGGCGCTGCGACAACCAAGGACCCGGCCGAGGCGACAAGCAGCTTCAGCATCGTCACTCTCTCTTCACGCAATCTGTGACGTTCCTCAGCAGAGGTCGGAGTTCCATCCAATCATTGCACTCCAGTGAGCCTCCCGTATACGCCACGCTACGTCGGCAAGTGCACAGCTTGTTTCGCAAAGCGTTCACTCAATTCGCCCTGCAGCTCAGCTCAGTTGAAATGATTATCGATGGGGCTTGCTGCGAATATCGGTGCCACTCCGTGGCGCAGCCAGGATATTTGCTGTGGGCGCTTTGCATACAATACAAGCTACGAAACCAGCCTTTATTATGTACATGTTCAACAGCATGTATATATGTCTAGGACCAACAGTGAAGCTTGTTTGTGAAGAAGAAGCTGACATAAGAGAGATGGCACGCAAACATTATCATAAAATTTACCACTAAACTAAAAAAGTGTATATTACCAGCATGAACATAAAAACCTGTGCGCCACCGCTGTCACCTGCTTTGTTCATACCACCCCCGCCACCGTGCAATAATTGTGGCACGCCGCCTTTTGTCTTTTCCTTTAATCCTAGCGGAGAATGTGGACATCAAACATATTTTTTCAATCACTTCAACGGGAAGTTCTTCTCGATCTGCCCATGTAATGAACTGAGCAACTTGAGCTTGCTTCTTAACTGGTCACCTGAACAGATAACACTCTTGTTACGTGCACAAAATCTGGTTGATTGGTTCCTCAATATCATGGCGCGATCCACACTAAGGGATAGGCCATGCGTTGGACAGTGCCTTGTTTAAAAAACTTATGCACTTATTGTGGTTACAGGTTGAAAATTAATTCTTTTAATCATTCAAGAATAATATTATAAGCTCGTAAGGTCTAAAAATATAAAACTTTGGAGTACTAAAGCAAACAAAACTAAAAAAAAGATTATAAATAAGCCAAATGGATTAAATTACACCTAAGACTCGATTCTTTTGAACTCTCTTAGAGAGTTACTTACAGCATTGAAAATGCTCCTGTGGCTAAAACCGAATATTTTTGCACGAAATGAAAGAATAACCGAGTGACAAAGTTCAACGTTGGCAGAGGTTCTTCTAATAGTCTTTTCCTTTGCATTTTAAATCCTCAACACGTAAAAAAAAAAAGTGCTCCAGAGATTCACTTTCATTACAGGGAACGAAATCAGCCAAGCGAAAATAACTCTGCTCATTTTGTTTCTTTCCCCTCGAATCGTACCCACTCGTAATAATAATGGGTTTGACGTACGTTTGTCCAGTACCAGGCCACCAGGCAGAGCTGCTTGTGCATGGCAGTCTGTTGTGCTCAAGACTCATATATGGCCACGTGTTTCTTTTTATTTATTCACGTGCTAAACCTATTGAAGTCTGGCATTTTTAAGTTTTACGAAATTCGCCGCCACAATTGAGTACCTATATGTAAAACGGGATAGATACCTTGTCTGCGCGCTATGATTACATAGCGGAGCACGCGCAGCAGAAAAAAAAAAAATCTCGAAAAGCAATGAGTCCCTCGTTAGAAAGCTGAGTTGGTGTTTTAGTGGACCTGCGCGCTCAAAATATATTTATATTTCATTGACAAAATTGATGAGGAGGAGTGTAAATTTTAAGAAATAGTATGAAGATTATAATTGTTAAGTGTCTGGAAATCAGAACATCGGAAGGTGTTTCAACCGCTTAGAATAGAGAGAGTTGATCTAGTTGGTAGGTATACATTCTAAAAGACAGGATGTACAAACATGGGCACAAGAAGAGAGTCGAGGCACCTCAAATGGTCCGGTGTTTCAAACAAAGTTTCAGTAAATATAAAAAATCACAAAATGAAGGCGTGTTCTAGCATAACAAGTTCAGATATTATGTGCGGATATATTTTCCTGTGCCACATAAATTTTTCTCGAAGAAAAGAAATAGTGGGGAACAAGTCTGTTTTCTGAACGCACACCGCCTAGTTACTGCCAGGTACCGAGATGGTGATGCGAATACAATCTGTTAACGGCAACTTTGCATGTGTGACCATTGTCGGTGTTCACGTAGACATAAAAAGTGCCTGCACCAACGTTCTGTGCTAACTGTACGCACCTGATTTATTGCCAAATGTACATGACAAGCACACCTTTACAGCACTGAGTGTCCACTGATGTGCGAAGCTTTAGCTGGAACACGAGGATGCTTGTTTGTGCAGTGGACAGGACCAAGAGCCCTTCTCCCAATCTTGCGAACAGCGGACGGACAAGTTTGAAGGGAAGGAACGCCTGCGAATCAGCGCAATGGGGACATGCCCTGGAGCACACCGAGGACAACCTCCTTGAGAAGGAACCTGTCTTAAGCGATCAGGGACGCGTTCAGGGACGATTGCTGTGTTTAATCGCGTGACGTGTGGCCCATTGAGTGACCGTCAATATTGTTATGGAGGCGATGCTCCGTAGCCGGGCAAGTTTCCTAATACAACTATGGGTCACGCAAACCACCTGCCATTCTGGTTCGCGAAGGGTTACAAATATCGGCCCACTTTGCTGACCAGACCCCGAACATGGGGCCATGCACACCACGTGTTCCGCCCGACGTTTACTGCGTGATTCCGTAAATTGGTGCACGTGACGAGGGTGCACGGTGATGGTTTTCTTGTTAGGCCAGAGTGGGCACAGCTGCTGAGGTGACCGCAAGATGAGCAGGAAAACTCCCTCGTGCAGTTGGTAGCTTACCCCAGATTTTTTTTTGTCTGCACTGATCGTCAACAGGCGTTGTGTCCAAGAGCCGAGGCCAGTGTGAAGTTAATGTGGTTTCTACAAGTCAACAATACGTGTGTCTCGGAAGAGTCCACTCACTGACAATAGAAGACCGTGTTTCGTGTTCTGTTTCTCATTCATAGTGCGTTCTCCGGTGTATGCAAACGAATGTATTTGTGCCCAGCCTCTTTGCGGTAGAAGGAGTAAACTACTAGGAAATAAACAGAAATGTGCTTCTCGCAGCCAGTATTTTCATACAATGGAAGTCATCAATATTTGCACCGTGGATGCCGAGGGAAAATATTCCGACGTTGTAGTGCAGCAGAATCCTTGAGCTCAAATTTCCTCCGATTACCATGTGTACATAAAGAAACTGTGAATTCCAGAAAATTTCATTGGCGCACTGTTTTTTCACATATTCATAATCATTGTATGGCGTGATGTCTACAAGAGCACTTGGCCGTTATAGCTAAGCACCACTTTATCATGTTCAATCGTGGTGAATGTTTGCCTCGGGTAATGTTCATATTTTCTTTCGCCCAATTTCAGTTATGTCTGAACAAACAAATAAAACACGTTTCTAACGCTCCATGTCGCTTCATTTCAGCCCTGTGGCCGTCTTCCTGAGCCCCGCATATCAATGGCGTAGGATAGCGAACGCAGCGACATGCGCACGTTGTTTCAAGCGAACGGCCACGGAAACATTCGCGCGCCCGGCTACCGCGGACTGCATGTGCTACCACATGCAGTCTGGTACATGGTCTGCACATGGTATCAGAGCTGCTCGTCTGTTTCCCGAAGGCCGGTAGCAATCGTGCATTGCGGAGACGTTGACGCACAGGTCAATCCCTGTTGTCGCAACGAACCAGAATGCGCACTATGCCCGTATATACAAACCCTCCTCACTTCAGACCGTGTCTCAGACCTTATCCTTACCACATGGAATGTGCTAGACTGCTCCACATCTTTAAAGTCTTGTTTTATTTATTTTATTTTCTGTTTGTGTTGTGTCTTGCGAGTATCCGTTGGCCCCTTGAAGTGGCCCTCCTCCTTGTTTATGGGCGACTGCTATCGGCGAGCCTCCCATAACTGCGAGCGCCGAGTCGGGACAAAGGAGACAGCCCCGTTTTACTGCACTTTGCTGGCTCGAGTGCAGGAAGGGGAAACACGACACTTAGCGCATCCGTGGCCTGCGGGACGTTCGACCTGCTTCTCCAAATTGGCGAAGCGAAGGACCGCACCCTCTGACCTTTTGACTTCGTGGAACCATTAGTGTTGGTGTGTGTGTGTGGGTTGTGTGTGCATGTTGTGGTGAGCGTGCGTGTATGTGTGCTCGGACCTGTGGTCGGAAGAGCAGAGCGGGAAAAAGCGCGGAAGAACCAGAGACGGAGCGAGAACAGTGAGCGAAGAGGAGTCTGCATGCGAATGCTAGTAATAAGAGCGGTTGTGCGTTGATCGATGAGTGGCACTGAGCGGTTGTCCGATTAATATTGTAACAAGTTTACCTTATTAAATACAAGCTTATTTTTCATCTTTTAACAGTGCGTGCGTTGCGTGTTGCGTTTTGTGTTCTATTTAGTTTTACGGCCATTTCTGCGAAACCCTAACATTCAACAAAAGTGGGATAGAGGACGCTAACATTGAGGAGCTCGTCATGCCTCCTTATCTTTAGAGACTCGAACCTTGATAAAGCCAGCGCAAAGCTCCCTTCAACTTTCTTTTACAAAGCGCCGCCTCAGTAACGTATACGTGTTTGGCAAGTCTGTGCTCGAAATTACCTGTGAAATATTAACTAAACGTCAGTTTTTACCCAATAATAACGTGTATTTGATTCATGTCAATGAATAATAACGTGTACATTGCTTATCACGCTTTATTGGCTTTCCGTTTATTCTTTCCGTTTATTCGGCTTTCGCCGGTTGCACCACCAGCAAAACGAAAGTATGGCCGATTAACCGTGAAGCTCGGTACTTTGATGATGTCCGTTATGCAGTTATACCCGTTTTGAGACGTGAATGTGGAGCAACAAAGATCGTTTGAAGAACTTAGGACGTGAGTGCAATTTATTTTCAGCTCGAACCGGTGTTAAAACCACCCGCGTTCAAAGACGAGGGGGTGGTTTTTCTCCTCTTTCTCGCAACCCTTCTCCCACGCAATGCATCATCCTCTCCCCTTAGTTATTCAAAAGACGTGGACAACGTCAGCACTAAGCGCTATGGCCTAATGGAGGCGGAATGTTGTAGGCCCGTGTGCTCAGATTTGGGTGCACGTTAAAGAACCCCAGGTGGTCGAAATTTCCGCTAGCCCTCCACTACGGCGTCTCTCATAATCATATGGTGGTTTGAGACATTAAACCCCCACATATCAATCAAATCAGCGCTATGGCCTCTCAGGATTTCACGCTTCTCGGCTACGCGCTGTTATCGCTGATTGTGCAGTTGTAAACACACAATGAAGTATGATCGGTTGATCGTTCGCGATATTCATGCGAGACAAGGAAAATGGATGGAAGGCTGCGTGGCAAAGCAGTGCAAGAGAGAAATCGCATCGGATGTTCGCGCACACGAACCAATTGAAAGCAGCACAATATAGACGTCACGGGAACTGCTGTCTGTGTCACAGAAGTGCGCGAAAAGGACAAGAAAATACAGGAGAAAATATTGCGCTCATTTTTGGTTCATCGAGAGCCTGTTGGGCGGGCGCTTTAAAATTGTGAAATTTGCTCACTTGGTGCAATAGTTCTTCGAATCTACTTACGTACAAGTGAATGATTATGTTACATTCAGAGCAATGGTGTTTCTATCTTGGTCGTGCATCTCGTGTCTTTGTGGAGCGACCACTGTTTTGAGCTAAACGACAGTCTTACAGCAGTGGCTCTCAGGCAAAGGTGTAGTTACAATTTTTTTTTTCGGAGTGGGGGAGACACGATGGGTGGGGGGGAGGCACTAGCATCAACTTGCCCCTGTGACGTGACAATTGGCGGTAGATTAAGATTGAGCAGATTGTGTACATGTATACCAGTGATGAAATACCCCCCCCCCCCCCCGCCTTCCTATGCGTATATGCTCATGAATTGAAGATAGTAAGTAAATGTGAAGTAATCACAGTAAAATACAGTAAACGACAGGTACGGTGTGTTTTTGGAGCAACAGGCTCTCGTCGCACCATTCAATGGACTAGTCTTCGAAAACGCATAATTACGACGACCTGCACGATCGGAGAAGACATCGTTAATCCCTGTTAAGCGTATATAGTCCTCGTCGGGGCGAAGTGAGTTTCACACGTCAAGGACGGCTCCACTTACAACGTGAAAGGAGAAGTATGCGCAGCATGTTTTTGTAGATTCATAATTACATTTCGCCTTTGCTTACTTTATTGAGCAAATTTCTTACTGTCGATGATTGATTGATGATTGATTGATTTGTGGGGTTTAACGTCCCAAAACCACTATATGACCTATGAGAGACGCCGTAGTGGAGGGCTCCGGAAATTACGACCACCTGGGGTTCTTTAACGTGCATCGAAATCTGAGTACACGGGCCTAGAACATTTCCGCCTCCATCGGAAATGCAGCCGCCACAAAATTTCTTACTGTCGATGCTTGTGACTGCGTGCCATATGGTAATGATCTTTATGTTAAGCCCCTATGTTTCAAGCAGCCCTGACGCAGTGATATACCTTCTAGTCAAGAGTTTTTACTTTACTGCGCGCATCCAAGCATGCTTGCGATACGCAATAGGTATTTTTTTTTTTTGTAATTTATGGTGCACGTCGGCAACGCAATTTCACACGTGTTGTTTTGAGGGCAGACTTTCTCGCAACCTTGGTTGACATAACAGTTGCACTGTGACTTTTGATAACAATGAAGTACTCTAACCTTAGAAGCTTTATCGCGAAAGCTGCGTGGGCAAAGAAATCATTGTTTAGAAATGTTCAATTTGTCTCAATCGAAAATGGACCTGGAGCCAGACTGTATCACATAGAAATAGCTTGTTCGCTGCGTATAAGCGCTAGAAATCTTAAGTACGCGCAAAAATGTGTAATGTTCTCGTTTTTTTTTTTTTTTGACGCTGTACTGTGTGATAATCCATGCCTGTCAGTCGTATGTTTCGGGCTAGGCATCACCTGCGCGATGAATAAGAAATGATGATGAGGATGATAAGGCGTTACATAATGCAACCCTCATTGGAAGGTGAACGACATGTGCTAAATACGAGGTCTGCGGCCCCTCGATTTGCCTTCAGAGAGACAAAAACTTTCTGACGCGTTGCGACAATTAGACGATCGGCCACTCTCGGTTCAGATGCTGCTGGAGCACCCATGCTCGTCTTTTGTCGGCCCACAAGCGGGTCAAAACAGTCTTACGCTTTTTGAGGGCTACGGCCTTATGTGATCACCTTTGACTTCTGCAACAGTGCCACCGCTGCATACGCGTCAGCTATGTACTGCAATTTTCTCCCTCTCTATTCCTTTCTCTTTCTCTCTCCCATCTTTGTACACCCCTTTCCCATTACCCTAGCGTAGGGTAGCCAACCGGGCATGTGTTTGCTTAACCTTCCTGCCTTCTCCATTGTTGTTATTCTTCCTTTCCATGCATAAGAACATGATAAGCGCATAAAACAAAGAGCTGTCATTGTATAAACAAAGAGCTGAACGGTGGGTGATGACCGTTTTGCATGTCTTGTCTTTCTTTGTGAAGAGAGAAGATAAAGAGAAGAGGAAGGCAGGTAGGTACGCCATCTCATCGTGCTACTATAGGAAACGAAAGACGACATGGAAAGAACCACAGGACACAAAACAAATTCTCCTGGGGTTGTCTTTTCGTCGTCTTATGTTTCGTAGCAGCACGCTGGAAACTTTGTCAAAACTATTTTGGCCTTACGTCCCAAAATCATATGATTCTGAGAGATGCCGTATGTGGGAGGCTCCGGAAATTCAGACCTCCTGGAGTTTATTTATAATCTTTCAGCCACTTTGTGCGAGACAAACAAGAACAAAGCAAGAAGGTAATTGTGGGCCTCAAGCATTTTGCCTCCATTGAAAATGCGACCATCGTGGCCGAGATTCGATCCCGTGATCTACGGGTCAGCACGCTGGAAATTCTAGCTTATTACAACCGACTCGCCTCTCCCCAGCTGGCTCTTCTGTTTCTCCTTTTCTCCTCTATTTTCCTATGAAATGTCTGTAGGAAACAATAAAGCATGATCTGACAGTAAGTGTTTCTTCTTCGTCGTCCCCGTGTACCTTGTCCTCTTTGCACTGTGCCACTTTGGCGAGGAAATTTCACATCCACTCAGCCGCAGGCCCCGTTCGAAAACAGGCCTGGCGAGCAATTTTTCAGCGAAGGATATACCAACAGTGTTTGTACGGAAACACATCGTATCGACCGGTGCCTTTTCGAGCGAGGTGTCTCTAACCAAGTACAGAAAAGAAGCATAATCTCAGTGCGAGGTAAGAAGACACAGAGTCGCCGTAGCGCTACCTTGACTTGCAGGAGCACTAGTGAGGGAACCATGGTGAGGAGCATTCTAACATACCAGATAAAAAGTCCTCAAGCCGCTCCCTTACCGAGCCATAGACTGAGCCATATGGACCATAGACCTTTTTTACAGAAGGCTCCCTGGACACCAATACTTTCAAGCATGAGCCCCCCCCCCCCCCCCCCAAAAAAAAAAAATAACTGCCAAGTCAGTGACGTGGGTCTTTGTACTCTCATGGTACATTCCACAAAGGAGTTGCTTCTTCTTTGATCGCCGCATGAAACATGTCATGCATGACCTGTAAAAACAGAGAGCGACTTTGCCGCATAGCCGTGGTTGATAGCCGGACCAACTCTGCCACTCGAAGGCAAGTATACTCTCTTTCGCTACCGCTTGAAAATCATCATTTTGTCATAAGTCTCGGGAAGAAATTTTTTTCCCGGTTGAAAATGTACTGCTGCACGCATTGCAGCATTGCTTATTTCTGTGTAAGTATCTGTTCATAAATGATCGAAAATTTTCTGGGTCCTGTACAAAGCACGTGCTCTTAACGCCACGCAACAAATGATGGGAAATCAATACATCGCGCAATGACCACTCACGCACATAAAAAGAAGAGAGTAAACTAATTTAGATTCATTAAAAAAAACTTTGATGTCCCACACAATCTCCCGAACGTTACGTGACGTTGCAAATCTGCGAAACCTCGTAGCGTTACCAAACAGCGCATTACTGTAGTGAACAAACATTAACTCATTTTGGAATAGCCGGACAGTGTCTTATTCTGAATCCGTTTCGGGAAGCTTGCTCGCCCACCACATTGGCAGCGACTATGAGCATCTGGTGCGATGAACTCATTTTCAGAATTAGTGTAACGATGAGCATTTTGTGCCCGTATACAACTCTCTGTGAACTAACTGATCCTCACCTAGAGAGAGAGGGGGGGGGGGGGAATAAATATAATTGGAGCAAGCAAAAGCCTTCGCTGGTGGGCAGACTTTAAACAAAACATGAACCCTGATTGATATGTGGGGTTTAACGTCCCAAAACCACCATTTGATTATGAGAGACGCCGTAGTGGAGGACTCCGGAAATTTCGACCACCTGGGGTTCTTTAACGTGCACCCAAATCTGAGCACACGGGCCTACAACATTTCCGCCTCCATCGGAAATGCAGCCGCCGCAGCCGGGATTTGAACCCGCGACCTGTGGGTCAGCAGCCGAAAAAAAAAACATGAACCCTGACCATCTCTTTGGTACGGTCGATCAAGTTTCGAGAAGCTGGGTTTCTCAGTTTGCTCGAGTTTACTGCTTTATTGATCACCTCTTTACAAACCACCGCGATCGCGGCAAGCAAGGCGGAAAATAACAGAAAACTAAAGGGGGGACCTTGTTTAGCTCTATTCCTGACTGAGCCCATCTAAAACAGTAAATAGGTGCTACTGCACACTGGTCAACTTACAATAGCTAGGATATGAAAATGCTGTAGACCCGTGTGCTCCATGGCTCTGAGAGGGTCAGCGCTGTCTTCCAATTTTATTTCGAAAATGGAACAAAAAAAAAAAGCGGACTGAATCAGTATATGTAACTCAAGGAATTTGTTTCAATGCCCATGTAGCTCATGGATCAAGAAAGCAACGCCCGACACCGTATTTAATATGTATGCAAACGACATCGACAACCATACGGTGCAATGTTGTCCAGGCGTTGCGCAGCAGATATACGTTGCAATAACCAAAGTTCACGTTGTACCAGGTGCTTTGATATGTTTGCCTAAGCTCGGAAATTGTGTTTTTAAATGGGCATTGCGTAGTGAGCGCCGTAAAAAGTCGCGGCACAAAGAAAGGGAAAGTCGCGGAGAGAAATAGCGCCTCAGTGGCCAGCGCGTGGATCGTGCGGTAAAGGAAAATTCGGAGTAGACAGCAGCGCCGCCGCATCGTCTCGAAAATGTGGCGCCTCTAGCGCTCCGATCAGCGATGTTGACAGCTGACGCCGGCGACACACTTCACCGACCTCACCCTCTAGACACCATAGCAAACCATGGTCGATTTTGTGGAGGTTTTCTCACAGCGTCAGCCCAGCCCTGTATGGATCTCAGTGCTTTGGTTCCCAATCTTCTACGATAACTTTTATGAATTCGCTTGCTCCATGATCCATGCTGTGGGCCCATCAAGTGAATGAGCGGTTGATGACTGCACTCAAAGCATGGCCGCGCGTAAAAGTATCATACCTGGAGGCTTCCGTGACCGTGTGTTGTTTCTGCTCATGATGTGCGGCATTCCCGTCATCGTGTTTTTCAACTTTTGCTTCGTCGCACCCAGGTTCGTCGGTACAGCCAACGCCGGCGTTTCGGGGGGGGGGGGGGGGGGCGTGAGATGTTCAACACTCCACCGTCTCTTGTAGTACACCTGTTCATTGTAAAATGGTATTGCCTTCCTTGACACTTTTAGTAGTTGGATGCATGCATGTCAAATCGCATATTGGGAAATTATTTTGTTTCGAAAGGGAGGCCTGCATGTACTATCATGTATTTGCTGCTGAGCCTTCCTTTACTGTACCCAGGTACCACGACACGTTCAACAAGTTCATGTGGATGCACACTGCTTCGGCTGCATTTATCACGTTCAACATATACGCCAACCTGTTCAAGCTCCTGCAGACTGACACCAGTGCGCACCACGTAGCGGACGACGTACTGTTGCCTGGCTGGCGTTACTGTCCGGTGTGCGCGATGAATGTGCCGCCCCGCTCGCATCACTGCAGCGTGTGCAAAGAGTGCATACTCAAACACGACCACCACTGCATGTTCACTGGCCGCTGCATTGGCTACTACAACCAGCGATACTTCGTGGTCGCTCTCTTCTACATGACGGCCGGTAAGCTTTTCAGCACTGTTCTCCCGAAAATTCGCAAATCCAAAGCCACCACAGGCGGAGAGTATTCAATAAAGGGGCTAGAAGGTTTTCCAGCCGCTATAGTATTCACTGTGTGTGTGTGTGTGTGTGTGTGTGTGTGTGTGTGTGTGTGTGTGTGGTGTGTGTGTGTGTGTGTGTGTGTGTGTGTGTGTGTGTGTGCGTGTGTGTGTGTGTGCGCCAAAAACAAAGGTACCACAATATCTATCATGATCTCGAGCGGGAGATTCTAGATTTATTTGTCATTTACACAAAGGCATCGATCAACCTCAACGCGTAGCTCAAAGTGAAAAATGAGGCTTGGGACTCACTGACTGCTTTGCATAAAATGTATAAATTGATTTCCATAGTGCATGGCATCTGATGAATTTTTCATTGTTTTGCTTTGCTTACTTTGCTGAAAAATGCACAAAACAGGACAGAGTGGGCTCATGCTAGCATTATGCTAGGGAATTCAACTTAAGATACTCAAAAATAGTTCTCAGATGTTAGAATAATCTATAGACAGATACAACTTAATCAGGGAAGGCCTCACCCAGATGGCCGAAGCCTGGCAGCGTTTCCTTCTCAAGGGGGATGCACACAAACCTGCTTCAATGGATGTGTACTCCAGACTG